CAGCATCATGTTGTGGGGGTGCTTTGCTGCAGGAGGGACTGGTGCACTTCACAAAATAGATGGCATCATGAGGAAGGAAAATTATGTGGATATATTGAAGCAACATCTCAAGACATCAGTCAGGAAGTTAAAGCTTGGTCGCAAATGGGTCTTCCAAATGGACAATGACCCCAAGCATACTTCCAAAGTTGTGGCAAAATGACTTAAGGACAACAAAGTCAAGGTATTGGAGTGGCCATCACAAAGCCCTGACCTCAATCCTATAGAAAATGTGTGGGCAAGGAGGCCTACAAACCTGACTCAGTTACACCAGCTCTGTCAGGAGGAATGGGCCAGAATTCACCCAACTTATTGTGGGAAGCTTGTGGAAGGCTACCCGAAACATTTGACCCAAGTTAAACAATTTAAAGGCAATGCTACCAAATACTAATTGAGTGTATGTACACTTCTGACCCACTGGGAATGTGATGAAATAAATAAAAGCTGAAAGAAATCATTCTCTCTACTATTATTCTGACATTTCACATTCTTAAAATAAAGTGGTGATCCTAACTGACCTAAGACAGGGAATGTTTACTAGGATTAAATGTCAGGAATTGTGAAAAACTGAGTTTAAATGTATTTGGCTGACGTGTATGTAAACTTCCGACTTCAACTGCATATGCCACAGAACAGAGAACAGTATGGTTTGGATCATGGGATTACAAGCTTATTGAAGCTCTACTCTACAGGCTTCATTTAGAAGGAATCCAACCAGTGGGCTTCTAGAACTGTCGGAAACTGTTCAAAAGAGAGGGAGAGAGGAGGGGTTTGAGAAAAAGAGGGAGGGAGGGAGGGAGGGAGGGAGGGAGGGAGGGAGGGAGGGATGTTCCATAATAAGAGGTAACCCATTCTGTTCCATATTAACAGAGGTAACCCATTCTGTTCCATATATTAACAGGGGTAACCCATTCTGTTCCATATTAACAGAGGTAACCCATTCTGTTCCATATTAACAGAGGTAACCCATTCTGTTCCATATTAACAGAGGTAACCCATTCTGTTCCATATTAACAGAGGTAACCCATTCTGTTCCATATTAACAGAGGTAACCCATTCTGTTCCATATTAACAGAGGTAACCCATTCTGTTCCATATTAACAGAGGTAACCCATTCTGTTCCATATTAACAGAGGTAACCCATTCTGTTCCATATTAACAGAGGTAACCCATTCTGTTCCATATTAACAATGTAACCCATTCTGTTCCATATTAACAATGTAACCCATTCTGTTCCATATTAACGGAGGTAACCCATTCTGTTCCATATTAACAGAGGTAACCCATTCTGTTCCATATTAACAATGTAACCCATTCTGTTCCATGTTAGCGGAGGTAACCCATTCTGTTCCATATTAACAGAGGTAACCCATTATGTTCCATATTAACAGAGGTAACCCATTCTGTTCCATATTAACAGAGGTAACCCATTCTGTTCCATATTAACAGAGGTAACCCATTCTGTTCCATATTAACGGAGGTAACCCATTCTGTTCCATATTAACAGAGGTAACCCATTCTGTTCCATATTAACAGAGGTAACCCATTCTGTTCCATGTTAGCGGAGGTAACCCATTCTGTTCCATATATTAACAGGGGTAACCCATTCTGTTCCATATTAACAGAGGTAACCCATTCTGTTCCATATTAACAGAGGTAACCCATTCTGTTCCATATATTAACAGGGGTAACCCATTCTGTTCCATATTAACAGAGGTAACCCATTCTGTTCCATATTAACAGAGGTAACCCATTCTGTTCCATATTAACAGAGGAAACCCATTCTGTTCCATATTAACAGAGGTAACCCATTCTGTTCCATATTAACAGAGGTAACCCATTCTGTTCCATATTAACAGAGGTAACCCATTCTGTTCCATATTAACAATGTAACCCATTCTGTTTCCATGTTAGCGGAGGTAACCCCATTCTGTTCCATATTAACAGAGGTAACCCATTATGTTCCATATTAACAGAGGTAACCCATTCTGTTCCATATTAACAGAGGTAACCCATTCTGTTCCATATTAACGGAGGTAACCCATTCTGTTCCATATTAACAGAGGTAACCCATTCTGTTCCATATTAACAATGTAACCCATTCTGTTCCATGTTAGCGGAGGTAACCCATTCTGTTCCATATTAACAGAGGTAACCCATTATGTTCCATATTAACAGAGGTAACCCATTATGTTCCATATTAACAGAGGTAACCCATTCTGTTCCATATTAACAGAGGTAACCCATTCTGTTCCATATTAACAGAGGTAACCCATTCTGTTCCATATTAACAGAGGTAACCCATTCTGTTCCATATTAACAGAGGTAACCCATTCTGTTCCATATTAACAGAGGTAACCCATTCTGTTCCATATTAACAGAGGTAACCCATTATGTTCCATATTAACAGAGGTAACCCATTCTGTTCCATGTTAGCGGAGGTAACCCATTCTGTTCCATATTAACAGAGGTAACCCATTCTGTTCCATGTTAGCGGAGGTAACCCATTCTGTTCCATATTAACAGAGGTAACCCATTCTGTTCCATCCAGACGCTGCACTTGATGAATATATGAAATTGCTTCTTCAAATTATTGATAAACATGCACCTGTTAAGACTGTTAGAACTGTTAAAGCTCCATGGATTGATGAGGAATTGAGAAACTGTCTGGTTGAAAGAGACGGGGCAAAAGGAGTGGCTAATAAGTCTGGCTGCACATCTGACTGGCTGACTTACTGCAAATAGAGAAATGATGTGACTAAACTCAACAAAAAGAAGAAGAAACTGTATTATGAAGCCAAGATCAATGATATAAAGAATGATGACAACACTTTGGAGTACGTTAAATGACATTTTGGGCAGAAAGACAAATTCAACCCCATCTTTCATTTAATCAGATGGCTTATTCATTACAAAAACATTTGATGTTGCTAATTATTTGACAATGCCTTTGATATTATTGACCATAACCTGTTGTTGAAAAAACGTATGTGTTATGGCTTTTCAACCTCTGCCATATCGTGAATTCAGAGCTATCTATCTATTATAACTCAAAGGGTTTTCTTAATGGAAGCTTCTCTAATGTCAAAAATGTAAAGTGTGGTGTACCGCATAGCAGCTCTCTAGGCCCTCTACTCTTTTCTATTTTTACCAATGACCTGCCACTGGCATTAAACAAAGCATGTGTGTCCATGTATGCTGATGATTCAACCATATACGCATCAGCAACCACAGCTAATGAAGTCACTGAAACCCTTAACAAAGAGTTGCAGTCTGTTTTAGAATGGGTGGCCAGTAATAAACTGGTCCTGAACATCTCTAAAACTAAGAGCATTGTATTTGGTAGAAATCATTCCGTAAATTCTAGACCTTAGATTATAAACTGTCATGGTCAAAACATATAGATTCAATGGTTGGAAAGATGGGGAGAGGTCTGTCCCGTAATAAAGATATGCTTTTTTGACACCATATTCCAAAAAGCAAGTCCTGCAGGCTCTAGTTTTGTCATATCTTTGATTATTGTCCAGTCGTGTGGTCGAGTGCTGCAAGGAAAGACCGAGTTAAGCTGCAGCTGGCCCAGAACAGAGCGGCTGTTCTTGCTCTTCATTGTAATCAGAGGGCTGATATAAATAATATGCATGCCAGTCTCTCCTGGCTAAGAGTTGAGGAGAGACATCACTGCATCACTTGTTCTTTTTATAAGAAACATGAATGTGGTCACTACGAGTCACTATGAGTATCTGGTCATGCCATTTGGCCAATGCTCCAGCTGTGTTCCAGACCCTGGTTAAGGATGTTCTCCACGACATGTTGAACCGGTTCGTCTTCGTCTACCTCGACGACATCCTCGTCTTCTCCCGCTCCGCCCAAGAACACGTGCTCCACGTCCGACAGGTCCTCCAACGCCTCCTGGAGAACCAGCTTTTTGTGAAAGCGGAGAAATGCGAATTCCATCACTCCACCATCCCCTTCCTGGGCTATATCATTGCTGCATGGAGAGTACAGATGGATCCCGGGAAGGTGAGAGCGGTGGTGGATTGGCCCCAGCCTACGTCCAGAGTACAGCTGCAACGTTTTCCTGGGATTCGCCAACTTTTATCGCCGCTTTATCTGGGATTACATCACCCTTGCTTCCCCCCTGTCTGCACTCACCTCTCCCAAGGTTCTGTTCACATGGTCCCCAGCTGCTGACCGGGCGTTCCGGGACCTCAAACACCGTTTCACCACTGCTCCCATCTTGGTTCATCCTGACCCGTCCCGCCAGTTCGTGGTGTAGGCAGATGCTTCGACTGTCTTTCCTGTAGTTTTTTGTCTTGTCATGGATGTTACTATTTTTATGATGGAGCCACAAAGATGAAGTAAATAAATGTCATTGCTGAATTCACACAATGTTATGCTCTTTCATGCAGCCATCGAAAAGAAAGAAGCTAAACAAATTATTTTGTATTCGAATTTCGCTGTTTAAAGTTGAGAGATACTGTATCATTCACCCAAAGTAAGGGACTGTACAATAAGACTGGGTGTGTAAATATGCCTCCAGTATAATATGGGAAAGTTGGCTATCAAACAATTAAGACCAAGGACTTCTGAAATCCATCAGAATAACACTTTAATGAAGCCAGATTCACTTTAAAAAATAAAATACAAATATCACAATGAGGGGGAGAGAGATCTTCATTAACTTTTAGATTGCTTAGTACCACCGTAACATAAAATAATAATAATAAATAATATGCCATTTAGCAGACGCTTTTTATCCAAAGCGACTTACAGTCGTGCGTGCATACATTTTTGTGTATGGGTGGTCCCGGGGATCGAACCCACTACCCTTGGCGTTACAAGCGCCGTGCTCTACCAGCTGAGCTACAGAGGACCAAAATCTGCTAACTGTGAAACATTTACTATATAATCAGTAGTTCACAGGATGACATCACAGTCACTGACAAGGGAGTGGGAAAGGCTCAGTTAACCCGACTCTGTTCAATCTAAACACAGTGTACAGGTATTATTGCATGTTTGACTAACCAATCACAGTGAAATTAGATTAAATCTAGTTTGATCAGTTTCATATATTTCATTCAGAAGCCTAAGTGTAGTAGATTGGCTTGTCTCAATTGTCTCGAGGCTTAAAAATCCTTCTTTAACCCGTCTCCTCCCCTTCATCTACACTGATTGAAGTGGATTTAACAAGTGACATCACTAAGGGATCATAGCTTTCACCTGGATTTACCTGGTCAGTCTATGTCATGGAAAGAGCAGGTGTTCTTAATGTTTTGTATACGCAGTGTATGTAAATACACTACATGGCCAAAAGATTATTGTCGAACATCTCATTCCAAAATCATGGGCATTAACATGGAGTTGGTCCCCCCTTTGCTGCTATAACAGCCTCCACTCTTCTGGAAAGGCTTTCCACTAGATGCAGGGACTTTCTTCCATTCAGCGACAAGATCATTAGTGATGTTGGGCGATTAGGCCTGGCTCGCAGTCGGCGTTCCAATTCATCCCAAAGGTGTTCGATGGGGTTGAGGTCAGGGCTCTGTGCAGGCCTCGCTTTGTGCACGGGGGCATTGTCATGCTGAAACAGGAAAGGGCCTTCCCCAAACTGTTGCCTCAAAGTTGGAAGCACAGAATCATCTACAATGTCATTGTATGCTGTAGCGGTAAGATTTTCCCTTCAATGGAACTAAGGGGCCTAGTCCGAACCATGAAAAACAGCCCCAGACCATTATTCCTCCTCCACCAAACGTTACAGTTGGCACTATGCATTTGGACAGGTAGTGTTCTCCTGGCATCCGCCAAACCCAGATTCGTCCGTCGTACTGCCAGATGGTGAAGCATGATTCATCACTCCAGAGAACGCCTTTCCACTGCTCCAGAGTCCAATGGCGGCGAGCTTTACACCACTCCAGCCGACGCTTGGCATTGCGCATGGTGATCTTAGGCTTGTGTGCGGCTGCTCGGCCATGGAAACCCATTTCATGAAGCTCCCAACGAACAGTTCTTGTGCTGACGTTGCTTCCAGAGGCAGTTTGGAACTCGGTAGTGAGTATTGCAACCGAGGACAGATTATTTTTACGCGCTACGTGCTTCAGCACTCGCGGTCCCATTCTGTGAGCTTGTGTGGCCTACCACTTCGCGGCTGAGCTGTTGTTGCTCCTAGACGTTTCCACTTCACAATAATAGCACTTACAGTTGACTGGGGCAGCTCTAGCAGGGCAGAAATTTGACGAACTGACTTGTTGGAAAGGTGGCATCCTATGACGGTGCCACATTGAAAGTCACTGCGCTCTTCAGTAAGGCCATTCTACTGCCAATGTTTGTCTGTGGAGATTGAATGGCTGTGTCAGCGACAGGTGTGGCTGAAATAGCGTAATCCACTAATTTGAAGGGGTACACATACTTTTGGCAATGTAGTGTATCTACCGCAATTACCTGGTACCCCTGCACATTGACTCGGTACTGGTACCCCCTGTATATAGCCAAGTTATTACCCTGTACCCCTGCACATGGACTCGGTACTGGTACCCCGTGTATATAGCCATGTAATCGTTACTCATTGTGTATTTATTGTTACTTTATTATGACGTGTTTTACTTTTCGATTATTTCTTTATTTTCTTTCTCTCTGTATTGTTGGGAAGGGCCCGTCAGTAAACATTTCATTGTTAGTCTGCACCTGTTGTTTATGAAGCATGTGACAAATAACACTTGATTTAAAGCATTTTTAATTAAAAGAAGCCTTGTTAATTATGAAGTGGAGAAAGTAGCCGGCTGACAATGAGTCTGTAGGCTTCAGCTCAGTGGACTAACACCGTCTACAACAGAGCTGTAGGCTTCAGCTCAGTGGGCTAACACCGTCTACAACAGAGCTGTAGGCTTCAGCTCAGTGGGCTAACACCGTCTACAACAGAGCTGTAGGCTTCAGCTCAGTGGGCTAACACCGTCTACAACAGAGCTGTAGGCTTCAGCTCAGTGGGCTAACACCGTCTACAACAGAGCTGTAGGCTTCAGCTCAGTGGACTAACACCGTCTACAACAGAGCTGTAGGCTTCAGCTCAGTGGGCTAACACCGTCTACAACAGAGCTGTAGGCTTCAGCTCAGTGGGCTAACACCGTCTACAACAGAGCTGTAGGCTTCAGCTCAGTGGGCTAACACCGTCTACAACAGAGCTGTAGGCTTCAGCTCAGTGGGCTAACACCGTCTACAACAGAGCTGTAGGCTTCAGCTCAGTGGGCTAACACCGTCTACAACAGAGCTGTAGGCTTCAGCTCAGTGGGCTAACACCGTCTACAACAGAGCTGTAGGCTTCAGCTCAGTGGGCTAACACCGTCTACAACAGAGCTACCTCGGTCCTCCTAATGGAGTAACTGTACAGCAGCTTTTCAAGACATTTTCACGTTCGCAGAGATTGCTGCGCATGTCTGCTCAAGCCCACATTACCTTAAAATGTCTCTTGTGGTGCACTGTGCTACAACTGGCCTTGGATATAGTCGCAGCCTGGGTCTTGGCCTTAATTGTCAGGTCTATATTTGAGTTGAGAGCACCTCTCTTGCTTTAACTCCAGTTTGCATTTATTTAATTTTTTCCCACATGATAAATCTGACATATGACATTTGAGACACTGCTTTTACACACAACCTCCAATTAAAGTTTTCATTTAATGAAGTACGAACCGGAAAAGAGAAATAGAAATGAAAGGTAATTAAAAAGCAACAACACCGTCATCTGCTAATGTAGTGCCGAGTGTGTATGTTATGTTGTTGGTCGCTGGTCTGCAGACTGCTGCTCCAACCACCCTCACTGCTGCTCCAACCACCCTCACTGCTCTTCCAACCACCCTCACTGCTGCTCCAACCACCCTCACTGCTGCTTCCAACCACCCTCACTGCTCTTCCAACCCTACTGCTACACTGCTGCTCCAACCACCCTCACTGCTGCTCCAACCACCCTCACTGCTGCTCCAACCACCCTCACTGCTCTCCAACCACCCTCACTGCTGCTCCAACCACCCTCACTGCTGCTCCAACCATCCTCACTGCTGCTCCAACCACCCTACACTCACTCTCCAACCACCCTCATGCTGCTCCAACCACCCTCATTGCTGCTCCAACCACCACTGCCACCCTCACTGCTGCTCTCCACCACCTCACTCTCCCACCACCTCACTGCTGCTCCAACCCACCCTCACTGCTATGCTCACACCTCTGCTCTCAACCACCCTCACCCTCCAACCACCCTCACTTCGCTTCCAACCACCCTCACTGCTGCTCCAACCACCCTCACTGCTGCTCCAACCACCCTCACTGCTCCAACCACCCTCACTGCTGCTCCAACCACCCTCACTGCTGCTCCAACCACCCTCACTGCTGCTCCAACCACCCTCACTGCTGCTCCAACCACCCTCACTGCTGCTCCAACCACCCTCACTTGCTTCTCCAACCACCCTCACTGCTGCTCCAACCCTACCCAACAACCTCACACCTGTCACTCTGCTCCCAACCCACTCTCACTCACTGCTGCTCCAACCACCCTCACTGCTGCTCCAACCACCCTCACTGCTGCTCCAACCACCTCACTGCTGCTCCAACCACCTCACTCACACTCTGCTGCTCCAACCACCCTCACTGCCTGCTTCCAACCACCTCACGCTCCACCACCCTCCACTGTCTGCTCCAACCACCCTCACTGCTGCTCCAACCACCCTCACTGCTGCTCCAACCACCCTCACTGCTGCTCCACCACCACTCCACCCCACTCGCGCTCCACCACCACCCTCACTACTGTGCTCCACCCTCACTGCGCTCCACCCACCCAACCTCACTGCTGCTCCAACCACCCTCACTGCTCTCCCCTCTGCCTCAACCACCCTCACTGCTGCTCCAACCACCCCACTGCTGCTCCAACCACCCTCATCTTCACTGCTGCTCCAACCACCCTCACTGCTGCTCCAACCACTCACTCCACTGCTGCTCCAACCACCCTCATCTGCTACTTCCAACCACCCTCACTCTCTGCTCCCACCCACCCTCACTGCTCTCCAACACCTCATGCTTGCTCCAACCACCCTCACTGCTGTCCAACCACCCTCACTGCTGCTCCAACCACCCTCACTGCTGCTCCAACCACCCTCACTGCTGCTCCAACCACCCTCACTTGCTGCTCCAACCACCCTCCTACTCTGCTGCTCTAACCAACCTCTCACTAGCTGCTCTCCACACCACCACTCATACTGCTGCTCCAAACCAACCTCACTGCTTGCTGTCCACACCACTCACTTCTAAGCTTTCTCCAACCACTCCTGCACTGCTTCTCCAAACCACCCTCACTTCTCTTCCAACCACCCTCACTGCTCTTCCAACCACCCTCACTGCTGCTCCAACCAACCCTCATCTGCTGCTCCAACCACATCACTGCTGCTCCAACCACCCTCACTGCTATGCTCCAACCAACATCAATCTTGTCTGCTCCAACCACCCTCACATTGCTCTCCACCAACATCATTACTGCTGCTCCAATCCACCTCACTCTGCTCAAACCACCCTCACTGCTGTCCAACACCCTACTGCTCTCACAACCACCCTCAGTGCTAACCACTCAACTGCTGTCCAACACTCACTGTCCTCCAACCACCTCACTTGCTGCTCCAACCACTCACTGTCTCTGAGCTGGGACATGCACTTTGTGACTCCAGTTGTTTGTCCGGACCACCCATACATAAATGTTCACCACCAACTGTTAGTGCTTGTAAACTCTCTAAATGGCATATTATATTATATTATTACTGCTGCCCAACAGGGCAGCTAAGTTAGCTTTGACCGCATCTAAGGATTCTGACGGAACATTGGCCCGGAAGTCATGTCATGTCAGAACCATAAATATACAGTATTCACCCCCCTTATGTTTAGCTATTGGTGGAGCATCAGGCACTGTCTACTAATGTGACCAGCTTTGGGGGGACTAACAAGTCATTTCTAAACGTTTATAAAGTGTATATATATATAGTGCACATTTTAGATTAGGGGCTGCAAAACAGTTTATTAATAATTAGTAAATGGTTTATACAGATCTACATTAGTCATCAACTGAGGTATTAGTGAGTGCGTGTACTCACGGTTATAAATGCACTCATTAAAAATGTATAAAGATACCATTCATGACATATAAATATATTTATGAGAATGTAAATGGTGAGTCAAACTATTAATCAACCATTAACCTTGTAAATAATCTGATGAGTTGACAATATCTCCTTTATAGCTGGTTAATAGGTACATTATTTATAAACTTCAGCTAACTTTAGCCACCGCTAGCAAAAAAAAAATGGAAGTGATGGAGAATGTGAGCGTGTTTAAGAAAATAATGTTCAAATCACCTGAAATCAACTTCATATTTGGTTTGATGTTACTTAAACGTGAATTGGCAGTTTAAAATGGAAGTAATGGGGGAATGTTCCTTTTTTAAGTAACATAAAAACCAAATATGGAGTTGATTTCAGGTAACTTGGACATTCTTTTTAAAAATATGATCACATGACTTACAGTCATCACATGCCCCCTTCACTTCCAAAGATGTTTAGCTAGCGGTGGCTAAAGTTTGCTGAAGTTTGTAATGGCTGTTTAAAGAAAACTGGCCGATAGACTATTTTTCAGGTTGAGGTACCATCTAACATTACGTTGTAAAATAGTGAACTACTCTTTTAATATCAAGTGTTACTCTTCCTTTTCAGCTGATTATTTTGAGCACTGTGTGATGGATGCTTCGGCCCTCTGAGTCTCTTTGGGGGGGTCCTGTGTATGCAGAGAGATAGAGGAGAGAGAAGAGAGCTAGAGAGAGAGAGAGAGAGCGAGAGAGAGAGAGAGAGAGACGAGAGAGATAAGAAGAGAGAGAGACAGATATAGAGAAGAGAGAGAGAGAGAGAGAGATAGTAGAGATACTATAGATATACTCTCATAAATTCGCTCTCTTCTCCCGCTCTCGTCTAGCCTCTCCCACTCTCCTCCTTCATATCTCTATCTCTATCTATCTCCTCCGCGCTACTCTCTCCTCTTTAGTGCTAATTCGCATTATCTCTCGTCTCTCATTATTCTTCGTCTTCTTCTGTGTCTTCCTTGTTCTTCTTTCCTCGGTCTGGGAGTAGTCCCCCCCAATCCATTAGTTATTTTTAAAAGGTTTCTTCAAGGAGAATCATAGGATGATCTGGTTCACCTCACTTTCTCATTCCTCTTGAGGTCTTACAACCAAATACGTCCCCCAGAAATATCTGTGTCTGTGTTAATGGGGAGTGATGGTAAGGACACTGCTGACCTGCAAAACGACAAGCCAAAATCTAAAACGGAACCTTACTTTAACCCTAACCTTAACCAAACCCTTAACGTTGACCCTAACCCTAACCCTAACCCTAACCCTAACCTTAACCTTAACCTTAACCTTAACCTAACCTAATTTTAACCAATTCTTATTTTTATTTAATTTTTTGGGGGGGTGGGGGTTATTAAACAACTAATTGACTGATGTCAGTTCAGTTACTTGAATTCCATTTAGTTCTTTTTTGTTGGTGAGCCCAACATGCCGTTTCTGTAGAGAGAAATCAAGTCAAGAACTATGTGGGACATTGGGATGAAGGGAGTTGTAGTTTTCATTAAGCAAATGTTCCACCTTTGTTCAGCACAGAAACGTGGTAATAAACTACAATGGAGTAAAGTGATTTAGTCGGACTGCTCTGCAGCTCTGCAGCGTACTCAGGCAGGCTAGCTAAATAGGATGACTAGAGACAGGACATGGGATGGCGCTGTCTGGCTGCTGCTTCCTGAGCGGAGATGAGATGATGACTTTAAGGAATAAAAAAATAGTCATCAAAATAAAAACCGAAATCGAGAACCATGATTATTTTTTAATAATCAAATCGAAACCGAACTGACCTCGAAAAGCACTAATCGCTCAGCAATAGTGTCCGTATTGCCTTTTCCGTGTTAATGAGGGTCAAATGTTGTAGGTCATAAATGAAATAAAACCCATCTGAGTGCATGGGCCTGAGTTGCTACGCACCAGTCATAGAAATAACCTCCCCTCCTGAAATGGTGTTTAGTTACTCAACAGAATATAACCTAGTTGTTTAATTTGACCTTAGAGACAGAATATCCATTCCATTCATTATAGTCCCATAGTTCTAAACCATAGCAGATATGTCATGGGCTGCAACCCACATTTTAAAATTTATTTACAGTTCACTACTTTACCGTGGTTCATAGGGCTCTGGTCTAAAGTAGTGCATTATACAGTATGGGGAACAGGGTGCCATTTGGGACGGACACATGGTTATACTGCCATACAGACAGCGTTATACTGCCATACAGACGGGCGTTATAACTGCCATACAGACGGCGTTATAACTGCCATACAGACGGCGTAATACTGTGCCATACAGACGCGTTATATGCCATACAGACGGTGTTATAACTTGCCATACAGACGGCGTTTATACTGCCATACAGACAGCTGTGTTATACTGCCATACCGACAGGCGTTATACTGGCCATAATCAGAACGGTGTTATACTGCCATACAGACAAGCGTTATACTGCCCATACGACCGGTGTTATACTGGCCATACAGACCGGCGTTATACTGCCATACAGACCGCGTTATACTGCCATACAGACAGGCGTTATACTGCCATACAGACGGCGTTATAGCTGCCATACAGAACAGCGTTATACTGCCATACATAACGGCGTTATAAGATCCTGCCATACATACGGCGTTATAATACTGCCATACAGACGCGTTTATACTGCATACAGACGGCGTTATACTGCCATACAGACGGGGTTATACTGCCATACAGACGGCGTTATAACTGCCATACAGACACGTTATAACTGCCATACAGACAGCGTTATAAATGCCATAACAGACGGCGTTATAATTTCCATACGACGGCTTTATACTGCCATACAGACGGCGTTATACTGCTACAGACGGCGTTTACTACTGCCTAACAACGGCTTATACTGCCATACAGACACAGCTATACTGCCATACAGACAGCGTTATACCTGCCATACAATGGCGTTATACTGCCATACCAACGGCTTATACGCCATACAGACGGCTTAAACCTGCCATACAGACGGCGTATACTTTCCATACAGACGGTGTTAAACTCCATACAGACGCGTTAACTGCCCATACCGACAGCGTTAAACTGCCATACAGACAAACTTAACTGCCAACAGACGCGTTATACTGCCAACAGACGGCGTTATACTGCCTACAACGGCGTTATACTGCCATACAAAGGGGTTTAACTTCCATACAGACCGTTTTACTCCCTACAGACGCTTTCTGCCATACTGACGTGTTTAAATGCCCTAAAGACGGTATATACTCCATACACGCGTTATACTGCCATCCGACGCGTTATACTGCCATCAGCGGCTTTATACTGCCTACACGCCGTTAACTGCCATACGACGGCGTTATACTGCCATCAGACGGCGTTTCACGCTAAAGCAGCATAGAAATCTGAGACCTAACTACTTTTTCTTTTCTGATCGCATGCCGGACACCACACGCCACCCCACCCACCACACCACCCCGCACGACACCCCACACCCACGCACCCCACTACCCCCCCACACACTCCTCACCCCCCCACTCCCGCCTCGCCTACCCCTGCACGCCTCACCCCCCACCACACCCCCACCCCCTACCACACACAGGTTATTAGAACATTCCCATGGTGCTGTGTCCTTGCTCTGTTTCTCTCTCTTTTCTCTTTCCGTTTATCTCTCTCTGTTTTTCTCTCTCAAATACAAATTCTCTCTCTGTTTCTTTCGTTCCGTCCAAGAGAAGGACAGTGTGGCAACCACCCTCCTCCTCTCCTCTCCTTCTCCTCTCCTCTCCTTCGCTCTCCTCTCCTCCCCTCCTCCTCCTCCTCTCCCTCCGCTCCTCTCCTCTCCTCCTCCTCTCCCTCATCCCATCCTCTCCTCGTCCTCTTCCTCTCCTCTCCCTCCTCTCCTCTCCCTCCCTCTTCCTCTCCTAATCCTATCCCTAACCCCCCCCCTATCCTATCCTATCCTATCCTATCATGTTCCTTCTCAGGGTTGGTTAAAATGCTGGCAAGGCTAATTAAGCTACCTTTCAACCTACTGAGTAACTTTTTAAGCTTACTTTTAAACTACTTAGCATGTTAGCTAACTCTTTCCCTAACCCTAACCTTAACCCTTTTAGATAACCCTTCCCCTAATCCTAACCTTAACCCCTTTAACCTAACTCCTAAACTTAAACCCAACCTTAACCCCTTACCCAAACCCATAAACCGGCTAAGGTTAGCCAGCTACCTAACGTTAGTCACCTAGCCACCTAGCTAGAATTCGTAACATATCATACGTTTTGCAAATTCTTAACATATTGTATGTTTCGCAAATTCATAACATATTGTACGTTTTGCAAATTCGTAACATATTGTACGTTTGCAAATTCATAACATATTGTACGTTTTGCACATTCCTAACATATAATACGAATTGTAATTCGTAACATATCATACGAAAATGGGTGATGGACAATCCACAAATGAATACATACCATACGAAATGTAACATAGAAATAATACAGAACAATTTCTGAGACCAGATTGGATATTATGGGGAGATGGGCCGGAGAAGGATGTCCTAGCCTTCCTGGGGGGCTACAGTGGGGCAGGGTAAGGATGAAGTTCCTAGGGGTGTTCTTGGAGACCTCAGAGTTTCAGGAGAAAAACTGGAAGGTGCTGGTGGACAAGGGGCCGGCGGCTAAGTTGTCTAAATGGCGGTGGTTGTTGCCACTGGTGTCTTTCAGGGGAAGCGACCTGGTAACTAACAACTGCTCTGGGACAGGCTGATGGTGTTGGACCCCCCACAGAGTCTCATTTTGACATTTACATTTTAGTCATTTAGCAGACGCTCTTATCCAGAGCGACATTTGGGACGTACACATGGTTATACTGCCATACAGACGGCGTCATACTGCATACAGACGGTGTTATACTGCCATACAGACAGCGTTATACTGCCATACAGACGGTGTTATACTGCCATACAGACGGCGTTATACTATCATACAGACGGCGTTATACTGCCATACAGACGGCGTTATACTGCATACAGACGGCGTTATACTATCATACAGACGGCGTTATACTGCCATACAGACGGTGTTATACTGCCATACAGACGGTGTTATACTGCCATACAGACGGCGTTATACTGCCATACAGACGGCGTTATACTGCCATACAGACGGCGTTATACTGCCATACAGACGGCGTTATACTGCCATACAGACGGCGTTATACTGCCATACAGACGGCGTTATACTGCCATACAGATGGCGATATACTGCCATACAGACGGCGTTATACTGCCATACAGACGGCGTTTATACTGCCATACAGACGGCGTTATACTGCCATACAGACGGCGTTATACTGCCATACAGACGGCGTTATACTGCCATACAGACAGCGTTATACTGCCATACAGACGGCGTTATACTGCCATACAGACGGCGTTATACTGCCATACAGACGGCGTTAAACTGCCATACAGACGGCGTTACACAGCTAAAAGCAGCATAGAAAGATCTGAGACTAACTGGTAACTTATTTCTGTCTGATACACACGCACGGACACACACACGCACGGACACACACACACACGCACGGACCACACACACGCACGCACAGACACACACACATGCACGCATGGACACACACACGCACGCACGGACACACACACACGCACGCACGGACACACACACGCACGCACGCACACACAGACACGCACGCACGCACAGACACACGCATGCACGCACGCCACACACACACACACACACACACACACACACACACACACACACACACACACACACACACACACACACACACACAGGTAATAGAACATTCCATGGTGCTGTGTCCTTGGCTCTGCTTCTCTCTCTGTTTCTCTTTCCGTTTCTCTCTCTGTTTCTCTCTCAAATACAAATTCTCTCTCTGTTTCTTTCGTCCAAGAGAAGGACAGTGTGGCAACCACCCTCCTCCTCTCCTCTCCTCTCCTCTCCTCTCCTCTCCTCTCCTCTCCTCTCCTCTCCTCTCCTCTCCTCTCCTCTCCTCTCCTCTCCTCTCCTCTCCTCTCCTCTCCTCTCCTCTCCTCTCCTCTCCTATCCTATCCTATCCTATCCTATCACTGTCCTTCTCAGGGTTGGTTAATGCTGCAGCTAATTAGCTACTTTTAAACTACTTACAGTTTTTTACAATCACTTTGGCACTAATTTCAGAACCTTGACGTCATTTTTCAAAACTCTAGACACAAAACTCAAAACGGTCATCACTTGTAACACAGGCTGTCCAATGTTCATAACATTGCATTGTGCATTCATATCTTTAAAGAAATCTTGCACTTGCACAATCATTGGTTCAAAAAACAAATGTATTGTGAAATACCAATGAAACTTTAATTTAGATCACCCACACACAAGCAACCGATAGTTTCACTGTAGTAGTAGTACTGCTGTAGTAGAGAGAATACTACAGACACAGTGGAATCATTGAACAAAATCTGAAATATATTGATGAAAAACGATACAGTACTGTAAAACATCAAATGCAGTGTTCCTCAACTTGCTTGCTTGTACTGTAAAAAGAAAAACCTAGGAGTGATTACTGTACTTCTACATGTCCATCAACTCTGTCTTGTGGTTTTGGCCACAGGTTCTCATCTACATCACAATGGATGTTTTCATCAGCCAAACATCTTGGAAAAAACCTTCGGGCATGGCGAATCCAGGCCTGACACTGGTCTGCCGTGATGTCATTGCATGCATCATCCATGGCCTGGAGAAGTGTGACTTGTTCATTAGGGCGCCTATCATAAACCTTCCATCTCCATGTGGAGAAAAATTCCTCAAATCGGGTTAAGGAAAGGAGAGTATGGGGGTAAATCCAGGGTGGTGAATTGCGCATGGGCCTGAAACCATGCTTGCACCATATGAGCATGGTGGAACCTGACATTATCCCACACAATGACATAGGTCACGCCATCGGCTCTACAGACCTCATCGAGCTCATCAAGGAAGGTTACAAGGAGAGATGCATTATATGATCCAATACGAGGTCTGTGTCCCACCACACCATCTTCTGATATAGCCACACACATGGTAATGTTGGCCCCACATTGTCCAGGTACTTGGATGGTTGCCCGCTGGCCAATGAAATTCCGACTTCTCCTCCTTGTCTTGGCCAGGTTAAAGCCTGCCTCATCCAAATATATGAATTTGTGATGGTTGTCATCAGCATCTAGCTCCATCACTCTCTAAAAATACATTTTGGAAAGAGATTTACTGATTACTGTACAATGTAGAATTATTAGGGAATTTTATTACAACAGCCATCTTGAAACTGAACATACCTGAACATACTCAGTCCTCATTTGCTTCACTGTCTGCATTTCTTTCAAAAGGCACACGGTATAGTTGTTTTAAAGACACCTGGTGCCTTTTCAGCATGCGTGCAATAGTCGGCAAACTTATGGATTCCACATTGTTAAACATGTCTTCATTGTCCAAGATATGCTGGCAAATTTCTGTAAGGCTAATATCATTTCTGGCCCGAACCAAATCGACCACAGCCTGCTCTTGTTGGTCAGTCAGAATTTTGCCTCTGCCTCCCCTATTTGGCCTAGTTTCAATTCTACAGGGAACATTACAGTAAGAAGACACTTGGTCACATCACCTACTCTGTGATACACATTGGTATGCAGTCATTTCACAATTGAGAGTAGCATAATGTTTAGTGCATGCTGACGACTTACCAGTTCTCATTGCGGAAAGTTCTGATTATTGAGGACACGGTTGACCTTCTGAGGTTTGGTTGTATCATTGTGGCCGCCTCAGTCATTGTCATGCCATGATTTATGACATGGTCTACAACTATTGCTCAGATTTCATTGGACACTCTTTGCTGTTGCTGCCGCTGTCTTGGTCCGTGGCCTTGTCCTCTACCACATTCCCCCACACCTCTCAAACAAGGCCCACGACCACCTCTCAGAAGGGGTGCTTGTCCCCTGCCATTCCTTTGACCAACACGTCTTCCTCGTCTTCCTCCCATCACTGCTTGACCTCTATTGTGACCTGGATCACCTGCTGGCTCCATGTTACAGTACGTATCGCTATGTTGTTGCAAGTGGATCCCAATCAATTCTTTATATACTCGTTCCACAATGTGAACTCAATCATCAGTAACGAGTTGGCAGAATTGGACAAGCAATTACAAGGGCCTGCATCCATACAGTGCAGTACTGTCAATACTGTAAATAGTCTGAAAAGGTGGTACATAGGACCATAGAAACAGTGTCTGATAAAGAATGATGATGAAATATTACATCCATAGATAATGTAGTCTAATAAATGCTCCACGCTAATTGGTGACAATGAATCTTGTTATCTTGAAACTTTTATGATCTAAACATGGAATATTGTTTGTCTGTTTCCATAGAACAGACAAACAAACACATCTGCCACACTGATCCTCAACACGGGGGCCCCTCAGGGGTGCGTGCTCAGTCCCCTCCTGTACTCTCTGTTCACCCATGACTGCATGGCCAGGCACGACTCCAACACCATCATTAAGTTTGCCGACGACACAACAGTGGTAGGCCTGATCACCAACAACGATGAGACAGCCTATAGGGAGGAGGTCAGAGACCTGGCCGTGTGGTGCCAGGACAACAACCTCTCCCTCAACGTGACCAAGACAAAGGAGATGATTGTGGACTACAGGAAAAAAAAGAGGACTGAGCACGCCCCCATTCTCATCGACGGGGCTGTAGTGGAACAGGTTGAGAGCTTCAAGTTCCTTGGTGTCCACATCACCAACGAACTATCATGGTCCAAACACACGAAGACAGTCGTGAAGAGGGCACGACAAAGCCTATTCCCCCTCAGGAGACTGAAAAGATTTGGCATGGGTCCTCAGATCCTCAAAAAATTATACAGCTGCACCATCGAGAGCATCCTGACTGGTTTTATCACCGCCTGGTATGGCAACTGCTTGGCCTCCGACCGCAAGGCACTACAGAGAGTAGTGCGTACGGCCCAGTACATCACTGGGGCCAAGCTTCCTGCCATCCAGGACCTCTATACCAGGCGGTGTCAGAGGAAGGCCCTCAAAATTGTAAAAGACTCCAGCCACCCTAGTCATAGACTGTTCTCTCTGCTACCGCACGGCAAGCGGTACCGGAGTGCCAAGTCTAGGTCCAAAAGACTTCTCAACAGCTTCTACCCCCAAGCCATAAGACTCCTGAACAGCTAATCATGGCTACCCGGACTATTTGCACTGCCCCCCCACCCCATCCTTTTTACGCTGGTGCTACTCTGTTAATTATTTATGCATAGTCACTTTAACTCTACCCACATGTACATATTACTTCAACTACCTCAACTAGCCGGTGCCCCCGCACATTGACTCTGCACCGGTACCCCCCTGTATATATAGCCTCCCTACTGTTATTTTATTTTACTTCTGCTCTTTTTTTTTCTCAACACTTTTTTTGTTGTTGTTTTATTTGTAAATGCACTGTTGGTTAAGGGCTGTAAGTAAGCATTTCACTGTAATGTCTGCACCTGTTGTATTCGGCGCATGTGACCAATCAAATTTGATTTGATTTGATTTGATTAAGAGTAATGCAACAGTTACTTATCATTTTGAGCAGTTGTATCAATTGATAGTTGGATAATTGTAATGAAATGAATAGACACTCATCTGAAATGTAATGTGTGAATTGCCTTTTGAAATAGTAGTACTTTGATGTTAAGTTGGGTCATATTGAACAGGTGATTTTTGTTAAATTATCAAATGATCTTAGTTTTATGTGTATTGTATCCAAGCAATTGAAAAAAGTGTTAGAGTTTTGAAAAATGTGCATTTTGATCATTGGTTGTGAGTTTTGTGTCTAGAGTTTTGAAAAATGACGTCAAGGTTCTGAAATGAGTGCCAAAGTGATTGTAAAAAACTGTAGCATGTTAGCTAACTCTTTCCCTAACCCTAACCTTAACCCTTTTAGATAACCCTTCCCCTAATCATAACCTTAACCCCTTTAACCTAACTCCTAAACTTAAACCCAACCTTAACCCCTTACCCAAACCCATAAACCGGCTAAGGTTAGCCAGCTAGCTAACGTTAGTCACCTAGCCACCTAGCTAGAATTCGTAACATATCATATGTTTTGCAAATTCTTAACATATTGTACGTTTCGCAAATTCATAACATATTGTACGTTTTGCAAATTCGTAACATATTGTACGTTTTGCACATTCCTAACATAAAATACGAATTGTAATTCGTAACATATCATACGAAAATGGGTGATGGACAATCCACAAATGAATACATACCATACGAAATGTAACATAGAAATAATACAGAACAATTTCTGAGACCAGATTGGATATTATGGGGAGATGGGCCGGAGAAGGATGCCCTAGCCTTCCTGGGGGGCTACAGTGGGGCAGGGTAAGGATGAAGTTCCTAGGGGTGTTCTTGGAGACCTCAGAGTTTCAGGAGAAAAACTGGAAGGTGCTGGTGGACAAGGGGCCCGCGGCTAAGTTGTCTAAATGGCGGTGGTTGTTGCCACTGGTGTCTTTCAGGGGAAGGGACCTGGTAACTAACAACTGCTCTGGGACAGGCTGATGGTGTTGGACCCCCCACAGAGTCTCATTTTTACATTTACATTTTAGTCATTTAGCAGACGCTCTTATCCAGAGCGACTTACAGTTAGTGAGTGCATACATTTTCATACTGGCCCCCCGTGGGAATCAAACCCACAACCCTGGCGTTGCAAGCGCCACGCTCTACCAACTGGGCTACAACTGCAAAAATGACTCGTGGACTTGTTTTGGTCAACACCGGACATGTGCAGCGGTGTTACACCTCCATTTGCATGAGGGGGGACAAGGGCTGGTGGACATTGGGTCCAGTCGCAGCTTTCTGTCTACAAGCTGCACAGAGACTTCTGTACCAGCAAGGGGGTGTGCTGGAGAGACACTGCTTGGGCTGTTCTGAGGAGAGCAGGAGGACCTTGGGTACGACAGGCACTTGTTCTTGTTGGATCTGGAGCAGGGTCCATATGTCAGCCATTACTCTGTTCCTGTTGGATCTGGAGCAGGGTCCATATGTCAGCCATTACTCTGTTCCTGTTGGATCTGGAGCAGGGTCCATATGTCAGCCATTACTCCGTTCCTGTTGGATCTGGAGCAGGTCCATATGTCAGCCATTACTCTGTTCCTGTTGGATCTGGAGCAGGTCCATATGTCAGCCATTACTCTGTTCCTGTTGGATCTGGAGCAGGTCCATATGTCAGCCATTACTCTGTTCCTGTTGGATCTGGAGCAGGGTCCATATGTCAGCCATTACTCTGTTCCTGTTGGATCTGGAGCAGGTCCATATGTCAGCCATTACTCAGGTCTACAGTGCTGTGCTTCGGGCGTGGAAAGAGACGAACTCTTCACAGAAACATTTCATGGCCAGCATGGATAATGGAGGAGCCACTGTTTCGCAACCCACTCATCCAGACCGGAGCGCTGACTCTGCCCTGCCCAGCGGGGTTCACTAACTTTGGTGACCTGAGTGAGGAAATCTACCAGTGACATCCAGGCTCTGTCGCAGCCGGCCGCGACCGGGAGACTCATGGGCGGCGCACAATTGGCCCAGCGTCGTCCAGGGTAAGGGAGGGAATGGCCGGCAGGGATGTTGATAGAGCATGGCGTTTGCAACGCCAGGGTTGTGGGTTCGATTCCCACGGGGGGCCAGTATAAAAAAAAAAAAAAAAAAAAAAATGTATTCACTAACTGTAAGTCGCTCTGGATAAGAGCGTCTGCTAAATGACTAAAATGTAAATGTAAACATGACGGAGGCTTCTTTCATAAAGCAGGAGGTGGATGGGACTTCCGGGCGCCTTCAGAGAGCCATCAGAGAGCCATCAGAGAGCCATCAGAGAGCCATCAGAGAGCCATCAGAGAGCCATCAGAGAGCCTTCAGAGAGCCATCAGAGAGCCATCAGAGAGCCATCAGAGAGCCATCAGAGACTTGGCCGTTTAACCACGGATGACACTGACCTACCTCTGTTTACCATCACTGCTGCTGCAGGAGAACACCAGGGTTGAGGAAATTATTTTATCGTTCAAGACTCAACGCGCATGCTCCACCCAGCTGAGGATCTGTCTTTTTCAGCCATCTATTTCCTGTGTTTGAGGGGTGCAAAATCCACTTGTCATTTAAATCTAGCTGGATTGATTGCTTTCATTTTACTCCTACGACTCTTTCATACTCTTGCTTGTGCCTGTAGTTTTTTCCCGTTAATGTTACGACCGCGGAAATAAAATAAAATCTAAATAAAATCAATAAATAAATAAAAATAAAATGTAATGCGTCACATACAATCACAGCTCGGACACCCATGTATACCCCACAAGACATGCCACCAGAGGTCTCTTCACACTCCCCAAGTCAGGAACAGACTATGGGAGGCGCACAGTACTACATAGAGCCATGACTACATGGAACACTATTCCACATCAGGTAACTGATGCAAGCAGTAGAATTAGATTAAAAAAACAGATAATAAATACACCTTATGGAACAGCGGGGACTGTGAAGAGACACACACACACATGATAAGACATGCACTCTACACACACGTACACACGGATGTTGTATTGTAAATATGTGATAGTGGAGTAGTGGCCTGAGGGAACACACTAAATACATTGGGTAAAGTGTTATGAAATGTAATGCCATGTAATATTTTAAATTGTACATAACTGCCTTAATGTTGCTGGACCCCAGGAAGAGTAGCTGCTACATGCTTCGTAAACAACAGGTGTAGACTAACAGTGAAATGCTTACTTATGGGCCCTTCCCAACAATGCAGAGATACATATTTTGAAATAATATACAAATAATAACACGAGGAATAAATCCACAATGAGTAATGATAACTTAGTTATATACACGGGGTACCAGTATGGAGCCGATGTAACGGGTTAGATAATAAACAGTAGTAGCAGCGGATGTAATGGGTCAAAAGATGGGTCCTCTGTAGCTCAGCTGGTAGAGCATGGTGCTTGTAACGCCAAGGTAGTGGGTTTGATCCCCGGGACCACCCATACACAAAAATGTATGCACACATGACTGTAAGTCGCTTTGGATAAAAGCGTCTGCTAAATGGCATATTATATTATTATGGGTCAATGCGGATAGTCTGGGCAGCTATTTGTTGACTATAAATGTTTGTAATGACCTGTGAAACACACCCCAGTAATGGCTGGCATGGTTACATTGGCTTTCTGTGGCATCTATAAGAACGCTAAAGCTTCATGTGGGATTTAACGCACCGCCTCGACACTGAGAAGATAACTTTATTTTGATGAGTGTATATTTTTTTGTGGAATTGTCTGCACCTGTTGTATTCGGCGCATTAAGAAGAAATTCCACAAATTAACTTTTAACAAGGCACACCTGTTAGCTGAAATGCATTCCAGGTGACTACCTCATGAAGCTGGTTGAGAGAATGCCAAGAGTGTGCAAAGCTGTCATCAAGGCAAGGGGTGGCTACTTTGAGGAATCTCAAATATAAAACATATGTTGATTTGTTTAACACTTTTTTGATTACTACATGATTCCATATGTGTTATTTCATGGCTTTGATGTCTTCACTATTATTCTACAATGTAGAAAATTGTAAAAATAAAGAAAAACCCTGCAATGAGTAGGTGTGTCCAAACTTTTGACTGTTACTGTATATATATATTTCTACGCCTATTTAACCCCTTATTTTTGTTGGCACAAAACTACCTCCATACTTTCATTCATTTGTATGGGTTACCTTTAGACGAGTCCCGTGACGCTTGTGGGGGTCGTAGATGCAAAACAGAGAACACCATCATGTTCGTGAGAGTCTCCACTTTCTACTATCGGGTCATATTGGTCTGTAGCCAAACGGTTCAGATGCTGCAGACGTTTTTGTGAGAAGACCAAAATAACACTGACCCCAGAGATATGCTGATGGGGCTGGTGCAGGGGGCTTGTTGTACTGACCTCAGATATATGCTGTTGGGGCTGGTGCAGGGGGTTTGTTGTACTGACCCCAGAGATATGCTGTTGGGGCTGGTGCAGGGGGCTTGTTGTACTGACCTCAGATATATGCTGTTGGGGCTGGTGCAGGGGGTTTGTTGTACTGACCCCAGAGATATGCTGTTGGGGCTGGTGCAGGGGGCTTGTTGTACTGACCCCAGAGATATGCTGATGGGGCTGGTACAGGGGGCTTGTTGTACTGACCCCAGAGATATGCTGTTGGGGCTGGTGCAGGGGACGGTGTGTACTGACCCCAGAGATATGCTGTTGGGGCTGGTGCAGGGGAAGGGGCATACTGAACCAATAGATATGCTGTTGGGGCTGGTGAAGGGAGCGGGGTGTACTGACCTCAGAGATATGCTGTTGGGGCTGTTGCAGGGGACGGTGTGTACTGACCCCAGAGATATGCTTTTGGGGCTGTTGCAGGGGACGGTGTGTACTGACCTCAGAGATATGCTGTTGGGGCTGGTGCAGGGAGCAGGGTGTACTGACCCCAGAGATACAGTGGGGAGAACAAGTATTTGATACACTGCCAATTTTGCAGGTTTTCCTACTAACAAAGCATGTAGAGGTCTGTACATTTTATCATATGTACACTTTAACTGTGAGAGACGGAATCTAAAACAAAAATCCAGAAAATCACATTGTATGATTTTTAAGTAATTCATTTGCATTTTATTGCATGACATAAGTATTTGACACATCAGAAAAGCAGAACTTAATATTTGGTACAGAAACCTTTGTTTGCAATTACAGAGATCATACGTTTCCTGTAGGTCTTGACCAGGTTTGCACACACTGCAGCAGGGATTTTGGCCCACTCCTCCATACAGACCTTCTCCAGATCCTTCAGGTTTCGGGGCTGTCGCTGGGCAATACGGACTTTCAGCTCCCTCCAAAGATTTTCTATTGGGTTCAGTTCTGGAGACTGGCTAGGCCACTCCAGGACCTTGAGATGCTTCTTACGGAGCCACTCCTTAGTTGCCCTGGCTGTGTGTTTCGGGTCGTTGTCATGCTGGAAGACGCAGCCACGACCCATCTTCAATGCTCTTACTGAGGGAAGGAGGTTGTTGGCCAAGACCTCACGATACATGGCCCCATCCATCCTCCCCTCAATACGGTGCAGTCGTCCTGTCCCCTTTGCAGAAAAGTATTCCCAAAGAATGATGTTTCCACCTCCATGCTTCACGGTTGGGATGGTGTTCTTGGGGTTGTACTCATCCTTCTTCTTCCTCCAAACACGGCGAGTGGAGTTTAGACCAAAAAGCTCTATTTTTGTCTCATCAGACCACATGACCTTCTCCCATTCCTCCTCTGGATCATCCAGATGGTCATTGGCAAACTTCAGACGGGCCTGGACATGTGCTGGCTTGAGCAGGGGGACCTTGCGTGCGCTGCAGGATTTTAATCCATGACAGCGTAGTGTGTTACTAATGGTTTTCTTTGAGACTGTGGTCCCAGCTCTCTTCAGGTCATTGACCGGGTCCTACCATGTAGTTCTGGGCTGATCCCTCACCTTCCTCATGATCATTGATGCCCCACGAGGTGAGATCTTGCATGGAGCCCCAGACCGGGGGTGATTGACCGTCATCTTGAACTTCTTCCATTTTCTAATAATTGCGCCAACAGTTGTTGCCTTCTCACCAAGCTGCTTGCCTATTGTCCTGTAGCCCATCCCAGCCTTGTGCAGGTCTACAATTGTATCCCTGATGTCCTTACACAGCTCTCTGGTCTTGGCCATTGTGGAGAGGTTGGAGTCTGTTTGATTGAGTGTGTGGACAAGTGTCTTTTATACAGGTAACGAGTTCAAACAGGTGCAGTTAATACAGGTAATGAGTGGAGAACATGAGGGCTTCTTAAAGAAAAACTAACAGGTCTGTGAGAGCCGGAATTCTTACTGGTTGGTAGGTGATCAAATACTTATGTCATGCAATAAAATGCAAATTAATTACTTAAAAATCATACAATGTGATTTTCTGGATTTTTGTTTTAGATTCCGTCTCTCACAGTTGAAGTGTACCTATAATAAAAATTACAGACCTCTACATGCTTTGTAAGTAGGAAAACCTGCAAAATCGGCAGTGTATCAAATACTTGTTTTCCCCACTGTATGCTGTTGGGGCTGGTGCAGGGGGTTTGGTGTACTGACCCCAGAGATATGCTGTTGGGGCTGGTGCAGGGGGTTTGGTGTACTGACCCCAGAGATATGCTGTTGGGGCTGGTGCAGGGGGCTTGGTGTACTGACCTCAGAGATATGCTGTTGGGGCTGGTGCAGGGGACGGTGTGTACTGACCTCAGAGATATGCTGTTGGGGCTGGTGCAGGGAGCGGGGTGTACTGACCTTAGAGATATGCTGTTGGGGCTGGTGCAGGGGACGGGGCATACTGACCTCTGAGATATTTTACATTTACATTTACGTCATTTAGCAGACGCTCTTATCCAGAGCGACTTACAAATTGGTGCATTCACCTTATAGCCAGTGGGATAACCACTTTACAATATATATATTATTTTTTTTTTGGGGGGGGGGGGCAAGGTGGGGGGGGGGGGGTAGAAGGATTACTTTATCCTATCCCAGGTATTCCTTAAAGAGGTGGGGTTTCAAGTGTCTCCGGAAGGTGGTGAGTGACTCCGCTGTCCTGGCGTCGTGAGGGAGCTTGTTCCACCATTGGGGTGCCAGAGCAGCGAACAGTTTTGACTGGGCTGAGCGGGAACTGTGCTTCTGCAGAGGTAGGGGGGCCAGCAGGCCAGAGGTGGATGAACGCAATGCCCTCGTTTGGGTGTAGGGACTGATCAGAGCCTGGAGGTACGGAAGTGCCGTTCCCCTCACAGCTCCGTAGGCAAGCACCATGGTCTTGTAGCAGATGCAAGCTTCAACTGGAAGCCAGTGGAGTGTGCGGAGGAGCGGGGTGATGTGAGAGAACCTGGGAAGGTTGAACACCAGACGGGCTGTGGCATTCTGGATGAGTTGTAGGGGTTTAATGGCACAGGCAGGGAGCCCAGCCAACAGCGAGTTGCAGTAATCTGACGGGAGATGACAAGTGCCTGGATCAGGACCTGTGCCGCTTCCTGTGTAAGGCAGGGTCGTACTCTCCGAATGTTGTAGAGCATGAACCTACAGGATCGGGTCACCGCCTTGATGTTAGCGGAGAACAACAGGGTGTTGTCCAGTGTCACGCCAAGGCTCTTTGCACTCTGGGAGGAGGACACAACGGAGTTGTCAACCGTGATGGCGAGATCATGGAACGGGCAGTCCTTCCCCGGGAGGAAGAGCAGCTCCGTCTTGCCGAGGTTCAGCTTGAGGTGGTGATCCGTCATCCACACCGATATGTCTGCCAGACATGCAGAGATGCGATTCGCCACCTGGTTATCAGAAGGGGGAAAGGAGAAGATTAGTTGTGTTGTCTGCGTAGCAATGATAGGAGAGGCCATGTGAGGATATGACAGAGCCAAGTGACTTGGTGTATAGCGAGAATAGGAGAGGGCCTAGAACTGAGCCCTGGGGGACACCAGTGGTGAGAGCACGTGGTGCGGAGACAGATTCTCGCCACGCCACTTGGTATGTGCGACCTGTCAGGTAGGACTCAATCCAGGAGTGAGCTGCCGGAGATGCCCAACTCGGAGAGGGTGTTGGGGCTAGTGCAGGGAGCGGGGTGTACTGACCTCAGAGATATGCTGTTGGGGCTGGTGCAGGGGACGGGGCATACTGACCCCAGAGATATGCTGTTGGGGCTGGTGCAGGGGACGGTGTGTACTGACCCCAGAGATATGCTGTTGGGGCTGGTGCAGGGGAAGGGGCATACTGACCTCAGAGATATGCTGTTGGGGCTGGTGCAGGGAGCGGGGTGTACTGACCTCAGAGATATGCTGTTGGGGCTGGTGCAGTGAGCGGGGTGTACTGACCCCAGAGATATGCTGTTGGGGCTGGTGCAGGCTCGGCTGACACTGGAGCATGCCTACGGTAAACTGGTGAACCGCCTGGGGGAATTTGCAGAGGTATGGGGAGTCATTGGGGTTCGAGGAGGGGGGTTTGATTTTAACTTTTTAGGTCCGTACAATGTTGAGATCTGATCTCATCAAACAGGCCCAGGGGCAACTATGTGGAACTCCGTAATTATCGGGACGGTAAAGCATTTTTGGATTTTTGGATTTGAAATCAAACAATGACTATGAGGTTAAAGTGCAGACCGTCAGCTTACATTTTTTATCCATATGGGGTGAACAGTTTAGACATAACAGCTTTTATGTGAATTAAAGTAGTAAAAAGTTAATTATTTGGTCCCATATTCATACCACGCAATGATTACATCAGGCTTGTGACTTACACATTTGTTGGATGAATTTGCTGTTTGTTTTGGTTGTGTTTCAGATCATTTTGTTCCCAATATAAATGAATGGTAAATAATGGTGAGAGGTTAGCATGTCTTGGGGATATGATAATTGTGCATCTGTTGAGCACACGTTCAAGCTGCGCCGCTGGATGGAGAACATGTTGTGGGGTTAAGGGCCTTGCCCAAGGGTACACCAATAAGGGAATGTTTTGAAGATGTGAACCCAGCAGTCCTCCAGTTGCCGGATCAATTTTACCCATTTTTCCAGCACCCACCCTGGGATTTCAACCGGCTACCTTTCGGCCCCAAGGTCCAACTCCTGCCACAGGTCCAACTCCTGCCACAGGTCGAACTCCTGCCACAGGTCTAACTCCTGCCACAGGTCCAACTCCTGCCACAGGTCCAACTCCTGCCTCAGGTCTAACTCCTGCCACAGGTCCAACTCCTGCCTCAGGTCCAACTCCTGCCTCAGGTCTAACTCCTGCCTCAGGTCCAACTCCTGCCTCAGGTCTAACTCCTGCCTCAGGTCCAACTCCTGCCTCAGGTCTAACTCCTGCCTCAGGTCCAACTCCTGCCTCAGGTCGAACTCCTGCCTCAGGTCTAACTCCTTAGCTACTGGGCTACCTGCCGCCAGTACCGTATGGGTTGTTGTCTTCCAGAGGAGAAGAAAAAATTAGCTAAAACCTGAGTTAATCTGCAGAAATAAACATGAGTTAATCTGCAGAAATAAACATGAGTTGATCTGCAGAAATAAACGTGTTAATCTGCAGAAATAAACAGGAGTTAATCTGCAGAAATAAACAGGAGTTAATCTGCGGAAATAAACAGGAGTTAATCTGCATAAATAAACAGGAGTTAATCTGCAGAAATAAACAGGAGTTAATCTGCAGAAATAAATGTGTTAATCTGCAGAAATAAACAGGAGTTAATCTGCAGAAATAAACAGGAGTTAATCTGCAATAATAAAAAGGAGTTAATCTGCAGAAATAAACATGAGTTAATCTGCATAAATAAACGTGTTAATCTGCAAAAATAAACAGGAGTTAATCTGCGGAAATAAACAGGAGTTAATATGCAGCAATTAACATTAGTTAATCTGCAGAAATAAACATGTATTAATCTGCAGAAATAAACAGGAGTTAATCTGCAGAAATAAATGTGTTAATCTGCATAAATAAACATGAGTTAATCTGCAGAAATAAACATGAGTTAATCTGCAGAAATAAACATGAGTTAATCTGCATTCATTAACATCAATTAATCTACAGAAATTAACAGGAGTTAATCTGCAGAAATAAACGTGTTAATCTGCAGAAATAAACAGGAGTTAATCAGCAGAAATAAACAGAAGTTAATCTGCAGAAATAAACAGGAGTTAATCTGCAGAAATAAACAGGAGTTAATCTGCATAAATAAACATGAGTTAATCTGCATAAATAAACAGGAGTTAATCTGCAGAAATAAACATGAGTTAATCTGCAGAAATAAACATGAGTTAATCTGCATTAATTAACATCAATTAATCTACAGAAATGAACAGGAGTTAATCTGCAGCAATTAATGAGTTAATTTGCAGAAACAAACAGGAGTTAATCTGCAGAAATAAGCAGGAGTTAATCTGCAGAAACAAACATGAGTTAATCTGCAGAAATAAGCACGAGTTAATCTGCCACGATGAAGACAAAATGCTATGCAGCCATATCATTATTATGATGTAGAAAAACAATTTACATGCAGCTGTTGTCAGCAGCAGCCGAAAGAGAGATCCTCTGCCTCTGATAGTTCTGGGTTACTGCCAGACTGAGCAACACATAGATATTGTCTCGGGGTTGAGACCTCTCATTTGAAAATCCAACCATTGTAATAGAAGAGGGCCTGGCTCAGGGGATGTTTGAGTGAGAAAGACACAGAGGAGAGCCAACCAGTAATAGCACTGCCCCCATTGTGTCGACAGCATCAAAGGGCCTTTCCAGACTGAGGTCAGGTTAGGCGTTAGCCAGACTAACGATTCACTGCAATGGAAAAGTAATTGTTTGTCTGCTTTACTACAGATTGCTCAGGACTTCTCCGTTTTAAACCCGGACTGCTTGTGGAAACTCACTAATAACTGGATCGCGGTCTTCAAGGACAAAAAACTTCGCTTCGCCAGCCCAGAGAGAAGCAGGCCCATGGTCTTCTCCTGGAAGTGCAGGTATAGTTTGAAATGACCCTGCTGATGGTGCCTCAGATGCTCATTCATTTTTTTAGCCTGAAACAATCAAGTTATTCACTAAACATTCTTCTATCCAGATACACCAGGTGACATCGCTTTAAGACTTCTGCCAGTGGTCCTCCCAACACCAGTCTACAAGATGGGCAGGAAGACGTTCTGACCCAGCTTCAATGAGACCAGAAAGAGCTTCACTGACTTGCAGCCTGTAAGTTTAAATAGTGGATAGGCATAAGGTTGATGGGGAAATTAGATGAAGGTATTTGTAAACCTTGAATGAAAGGAACAGCATTCCAAAATCTGTTATGCATAACTGCACACTTCAAGAAATTAAGTAGGTTTCCATTCTATTTGCAACAGATTTAAATTCTGCATAAAACAATACCGGAGATGTTTCTAGCAAACTGACTTTTTGCGGATAAAAGGCTGTGCGTGATGACGTAGTGCACATAAAAATAACTTTTGCAGTTAAATTCCCGAATAAAAACAATAAGTTAAATGGGTTTCCATCCATCTACTGCTAGTGTTGTGATGAACTGTTGCGTTACGAAAGCAAATGTCCCCCCTCTGGTCTTGGCACATGCACTCTAGCAAACAGCTGGCAGATACAGCGGGGGTAGGCGATCTACATCATGAGATTATTATGGATAATAGCAGGATTATTTGTATTTGTCAAACGGCAGCCAAGCATCAATCATCATTTCACCAGAATAAGACCTTCGATATTTATTGGAAAAGAGCATCAAGCTCATCACCTTGTACTTTCACCACCCTGTGAAAAGTTATTTAATCTGTAGCCTAATAAACGGCATCCTTTCCCCCGAGTCGTAGTGGGAGGATCACACAACAAAATCATTGCGTGATTCCAAGTTTACTTCGATATGATGGTTATTATATCATTACTTGCGCATAAAGGAGTTTCCACCGCCATTTGTCGCATAATTAATTTTAAAGGCAAAAAGATCCCACCATGTCGAACGAACAAATTGTCTGTAGGAATTTATTCAATTGTACCGGCATGTCATGTTTCCATCAGCTAAGTTTTGACTTTTTTCATGCGTTAGGTAAAGAATCCTCATGAAATGGCTGAAACGTGGTCAGTGTTGTGTAAATGAACAGAAGATGTAGGCCTCAAACAGGTTGATGGATGTAAATGGCTATAAAATATGCCAAATAAATTGTGTGTGATGGCATTGTCAGTGTGCCTCCATGCTCTGGACAAGTCCTCATATTCTAAAATCAAATGATTTCTTTAACAGGTTGGGACCAACATGGTTGAGTACCTGCACCAGGCGGAGGTGACCAGACCCTACCTATTTGTGTTGGCTCTTGGGGACTGCTCACAGGTGTTTACAGTCATTAGTGGACAGGCATTGGAGCAAGGTACACTGCTTGGGGCACTGGATGTGTGCTTCAAGTCCTATTATGTGTTTGATATCAACGTTCCCTCTGTGCCCCAGCATGGGAATTCCTACAGACCACAGTGTATCAGCTGCCAGGAACAGAATCCCCCTCAGTAAGACTGTTGCGAGCAGGTCTTTTTTCCACTGAACAATAGTGGATGAGTATCTGCTCTTGTATGTAGTGTGAGAAGAGACAGGAGGAAGCACAGCCCTCCGGCTGATGTGTTCCTGTCAATTAATAGATCAATCGATGGATGAGCCATGAGTGTCTCATTCTAATGCTAATATGCTTTTAAGGCACTACTTATAGCTCTGTTAAATTGACTTTTAGTTTGTTTTTTAATGCGTTTGTGCCAGATTTTTGCCTGCAGTATGGTATGTGGCTAATTTGCCTTTAATTCAACTACTGAAGCGCGTTCTGGTACGCTTTCATTCTATCACAACAATTTATTTTAAATACCAATGTTACATTTTGGGGATTGTGAAAAGTGATTTATGAATGAAATACAGTAATTAAGTAATGAGTCTTTAGTCCATGTCCTTAGTAGTGACCTTCAAAATGTAATATTTTGTTCTCTGTGTAACAATGTTTTATCTCCACCCAACTCTAGACCATTTTTTGAATGTCAAAACAGCAGGGTGTGTGTGCTGTCATCTAAGATAGCTGAAGTGTGTGAGTGAATGTGAATATCTATTGATTACCTCTGGCACTGTCTGATAGACAGATCTGTGTTAATACCACTTGACAGACAGTGTCACACGCATGCATGCTTTGTTTTTCTCAGATTGCACATCAAGTTCAGCTGAGGCTTTAGTCTGATGTTTGGACTGTTTGGTTCTTATGATATAAATACTTTTTTATAATCAATCCTATCTTATGAAATCTTATCTTGTAAAATAATACAGATAAGATAATAATAGACAATAATTTAGACAATAGGGCTTTGTTCATCGTGCAATAAAAAAAAAAAGTATTTATTTATAATATATTTAAGTAAAAATATTATTGTAAAGTACTTAAGTTAAAATACCTTTGGTCTCGAGTCCAAATTTGAGATTTTTGGTTCCAACTGCCGTGTCTTTGTGAGACGCGGTGTTGGTGAACAGATGATTTCCGCATGTGTATTTCCCACCGTATAGCATGGAGGAGGAGGTGTGATGGTGTGGGGGTGCTTTGGTGACACCGTCTGTGATTTATTTAGAATTCAAGGCACACTTAATCAGCATGGCTACCACAGCATTCTACAGCGATACGCCATCCCATCTGGTTTGGGCTTAGTGGGACTATCATTTGTTTTTCAACAGGACAATGACCCAACACATCTCCAGGCTGTGTAAGGGCTATTTGACCAAGAAGGAGAGTGATGGAGTGCAGCATCAGATGAGCTGGCCTCCACAATCCCCTGACCTCAACCCAATTGAGATGATTTGGGATGAGTCGGACCGCAGAGTGAAGGAAAAGCAGCCAACAAGTGCTCAGCCTTCCAGGCTGTTGGGAAAGCATTCCAGGTGAAGCTGGTTGAGAGAATGCCAAGAGTGTGCAAAGCTGTCATCAATGCAAAGGGTGGCTATTTGAAGAATTAAAAAATAAAATATATTTTGATTTGTTTAACACTTTTGTGGTTACTACATGACTCCATGTGTGTTATTTCATAGTTTTGATGTCTTCACTATTATTCTACAATGTAGAAAATAGTAAAAATAAATAAAAACCCTTGAATGAGTCGGTGTGTCCAAACTTTTGACTGGTACTGTATCTTTTAAACTTCCATTGGCTAATCAGTTGCTCAGTTATCACTTTCAATTCTGTAGTTATCACTTTAATGATCCTAAGGTTAACATCCCCATAGTGTTCAAATTTCTCTCATGTAAATGTTGTAGCTCCATAAAAAGATTAAACCATTTATTTGGGAAATATCCTGTATTACCATGCTGATGATTTCAAGTTGTATTGGATTCATTTTTTATCTGTTAAAGACATTGAAAACATGTTGTTTAGTATATTTCCTATATTAAGTACATTTCATATTTTTCTCTGTGAAGTAAGTTCATTTAATGTTATGTGATTTGGTTTATGTAGATACATTTAAGTTTAACACACAGTAACCAAAAACCTGATCTAATTTGCATATTCATACTCCGTTTGCAGCAAACAGAATGTTCACCACTAGTTTCCCAATTGTTTGGCATATGTTCACAAGTTTCCGCAAATTTGTGGAAATTGGCCAAAGGTTTACCACAACTGTTTTCTAGAAGCCTGTTTTTTTTGGTATGGACGGCATATCTGTGGACACACCTCCACCACACCTTCATTTATTCGATCTCTAACCCAAACGAATGGCGAGCAGGTGAATAGCATGCTATTCTCATGCTTAAGTTCAATGTCAGAGAAAAGTGCATAAAAAGGGAATTAAGTTCCATTTAACTCGGGTTGGAATCGGGCCCTGTGTGCACAATTAATGGAGAATTACATAAATAAATCTACATTTGTAAATGTTTTCCCCAGGCCTCAACAATGGTCTTACATTTACATTTTAGTCATTTAGCAGTAAGTCGCTCTGGAAAAGAGCGTCTTCTGATGTGATTTATGCATGGACATGCACTCTGAACATCCAATATTGTTGTTTCTCTATAAATATTTGTTATTTAAGAGTGACAAAATAAAAATATAACATTCTAAACCACAATTTAACTGACAAAACGAATTTGGGAAAAAATATAATTGATTTTATATGGTCCCCCTTAGAGTTGTTGATTAACCATTATTGTAACAGGTATATTGACACAAAACACATCTATTTTACAGCAAAGACCTGGGGAAGTGTTGCAGGGGAGAAAATAACGTATCTATTTGAAAGTTAAATAAATGAGTAGACCCCTGTTTTAGATTCTCTCACTAAGCAATGCTGTCATCTAGTGGCTAGACTGAGTATAGACAGACAGAAAACAATTTAGAATGGATATTATTTATTCAATGTCAAACCTCTATCTTGGTGTTTTGAGACATTTATCTCCACAGGTTCACTTCAAAACCGCACAAGGGATCTACACAATAACTGTCCACAAATCATCTGTTGAGTTGTACTGTAGTTGACTGAGAGGAAGCTGACCAATCGAAACGGTCCTGATTTGCATATTCCCAGCATGCCTCACTCTAGTTTTTCAGATTTTGTTGTAGAAACAAGAAACAGCTGTACGTACATTCTTCTTTTATTTATTACATATATTTTAAATGCCTTCTTTAGTCAAGACCAGTAATTTAAGATTGTATGATATTAATTCAAAACCATCATAGTGATTGTCAAGGCTTCTGTAACACAACATAAAGCCACCAGTCCTGTGTGCAGAAGCTCATTGAAGGGATCACATCATTCAACCAATCACCTCAGGGAAGAGCTAGACCAGGAGCCAATCACTGCCCTAGCAGGGTATCACATGATCTGGATGAGTGAGAATTCAGCTGAATGTAACTTGTCTTCACAGGAGAGACCAGCCTGCGCTTCTCTCCAGTGCTACCGATGGATGACATCACTGGCTCGGAAACTATCATGGCTGGTGTGTATAACTCTGGAAACCAATTTAGACTACTAAATTCCCACCGTGATTTTAGAAATACAATTGTTTTATTATATGAATGTATTTATTTTCACTATATGAAAATACACTTCTCTCCCCCCACCATTTTAGTACTATTCGCGGATTTTCATAATGCATTTTTTTTTTTTTGGTGCATTGTGCTCTGCATTCTGATTCGCTAAAAACTCACTCCCGCTTCTTGTATCAAAACATGCTACGAATTGTGCTATCATTTTGTCGTCTCGTGCAGTTATGTGTACGTACATAAAACAGCTTGGCAAATTTACATTAAGTTGGCCAAATTATCTTGTAATTTCGAACATCTCCTAAACCCATAATGTCGACGAAACGGCCTGGACCGACAAAAGCACCTGCGGATGGGCCCAAACGGCGGAAGATGCTACCTATCTCAGATAAAGTTAAACTTCTGGACATGCTAAGGGAAGGTAAAAGCTATGCAGCCGTTGCTCGCCATTACGGAATCAATGAATCTTCCGTTCGTTACATAAAGAAGGAGGAAAAAAACATAAGGACGACAGCAGCAGTCAATTTTTATACGAATGCAAAAAGGGTTGTAACTGTCCGCAACAAGACCATGGTACGGATGGAGACGGCATTAGTTTGATATCAGACTACTCTCTTCCCACACATTGACTACTACTGTGTATTCTACATTTACGGTAGTTTACTTAGTGAATTTAACTAGTATTGTCACACACATCCCTACTCTCCACCTGCATCAGTCAGTACCCAGGACCAGATCAGACTGGACTGGACTAGGCTACAACTCACGTCGCTGTCTGTGTTTGCACAGCAGTGTCCGCATAAGGGTTTGTGGGTATTTTTTCACCTGGTATTTTGGGACCAGAAATCGGCCTGGGCATTTCTAACACACCGGCCCATTTTCCCCCCTCAAGGTCCCCACACCGGCCCATTTTCCCCCCCATCAAAGTCCCCACACCGGCCCATTTCCCCCATCAAAGTCCCCACACTGGCCCATTTTCCCCCCTCAAAGTCCCCACACTGGCCCATTTTCCCCCATCAAAGTTCCCACACCGGCCCATTTCCCCCCCTCAAAGTCCCCACACTGGCCCATTTTCCCCCCTCAAAGTCCCCACACCGGCCCATTTTCCCCCCTCCAAAGTCCCCACACTGGCCCATTTTCCCCCCTCAAAGTCCCCACACCGGCCCATTTTCCCCCCTCCAAAGTCCCCACACCGGCCCATTTTCCCCCCTCAAAGTCCCCACACCGGCCCAATTTAGACAGACCCACTGGGCTAAAGATGGATCAGCCAATCTGGCATTTACCCAAACTGCCCTTGGATAAACGCTTTTTAACAAACCCGCTTTGTTCTGTGTGAGGCAGTGATCGCTGAGATCACAGAACAGCGCAAACTGTCTCTAACCAGAATAGAAAGAGGAGTGGGAGGCCCTGGTGCACAACTGAGCAAGAGGACAAATACATTAGAGTGTCTAGTTTGAGAAACAGGCGCCTCACAGGTCCTCAACTGGCAGCTTCATTCAATAGTACCCGCAAAACACCAGTCTCAACGTCAACAGTGAAGAGGCGACTCCGGGATGCTGACCTTCCATATCTCAGACTGGCCAATAAAAATAAAAGATTAAGCTGGGCAAAAGAACACAGACACTGAGGAAGATTGGAAAAAAGTGTTATGGACAGACAAATCGAAGTTTGAGGTGTTCGGATCACAAAGAAGAACATTTGAAAAGATGCTGGAGGAGTGCTTGATGCCATCTGTCAAGCATGGTGGAGGCAATGTGATGGTCTGGGGATGCTTTGGCGGTGGTAAAGTGGGAGATTTGTGCAGGGTAAAATGGATCTTGAGGAAGGAAGGCTATCACTCCATTTTGCAACGCCATGCCATACCCTGTGGACGGCGCTTGATTGGAGCCAATTTCCTCCTACAACAGGACAATGACCCAAAGCACAGCTCCAAACTATGCAATAACTATTTAGGGAAGAAGCAGTCAGCTGGTATTCTGTCTATAATGGAGAGGCCAGCACAGTCACCGGATCTCAACCCTATTGAGCTGTTGTGGAGCTTGACCGTATGGTACGTAAAAAGTGCCCATCAAGCCAATCCAACTTGTGGGAGGTGCTTCAGGAACCATGGGGTGACATCTCTTCAGATTACCTCAACAAATTGACAACTACAATGCCAAAGGTCTGCAAGGCTGTAATTGCTGCAAATGGAGGATTCTTTGACGAAAGGGCACAATTATTATTTCAATTAAAAATCATTATTTCTAACCTTGTCAATGACTACATTTCCGATGCATTTTGCTATATTTCCTATTCAAACTAATTTAATGTATGTTTTCATGGAAAACAAGGACATTTCTAAGTGACCCCCAAACTTTTGAACGGTAGTGTATATAATTGAGATATTTCTGTATTTCATTTTCAATATATTTGCAAACATTTCAAAAAATATGTTTTCAACTTTGTCATTATGGTGTGTAGATGGGTTAGAGAAATAAAATCAATGTAATCCATTTTGAATGCAGGCTGTAACTGTGGAATAAGTCAAGGGGTATGAATACATTCTTAAGGCACTGCAGTTTGATCGAGAGTCAAGAGACTGAAGCTACAGACCCATTAACAGACGAGAGGTCAGGACCACCACTTCCCCTGACATCTGGACAGCTGATGGAGCAGAGGAACATGGAGGTCAGACTGAAGGACAGTGAGGACCAGGCAAAGTAGCAACGATTTGATCTTTGACTCACCAAGAAGGAGGAGGAGCTGGGAGAGAATGCAGGTCATTATTTTATTATAATATGTTGGTGATGTTTGTTTGTTGATGCTTGAAATAATACAGGTATTTTATAATTCAGGGTTGACTGTTTAGTTAACTTGTGTTTCTTTTCATGTCCTTGTAAGTTAACTCTTTCTAGGTTGATTGTAAATGTTTTATTTTCCTGTCTGTGTAGTCCTGGAAACCAGATTAACAGCCAGTGAGAGGGATGTGGAGGAGCTGAAGAGAGAGAGATCGTAGGTAACTACGAAGTATTCAGACCCCTTTACTTTTTCCACATCTTCTGTCTGGCCACTCTACCATAAAGGCCTGATTGGTGGAGTGCTGCTGAGATGGTTGTCCTTCTGGAAGGATCTCCGATCTCTACAGAGGAACTCTGGAGCTCTGTCAGAGTGACCATCAGGTTCTTGGTCACCTCCCTGACCAAGGCCCTTCTCCCCCGATTGCTCAGTTTGGCCGGGCGGCCTGCTCTAGGAAGAGTTTTGGTGGTTCCAAACTTCTTCCATTTAAGAATGATGGAAGCCACTGTGTTCTTGGGGACCTTCAATGCTGCATAAATGTTTTGGTACCCTTCCCCAGATCTGAGCTCCGACACAATCTTGTCTCAGAACTCTACGGATAATTCCTTAGTCCTCATGTCTTGGTTTTTGCTCTGACATGCACTGTCAACTGTGGGACCTTATATAGACATGTGTGTGCCTTTCCAAATCATGTCTAATCAATTGAATTTACCACAGATGGACTCCAATCAAGTTGTAGAAACATCTCAAGGATGTTCAATTGAAACAGGATGCACCTAAGCTCAATTTCGAGTCTCATAGCAAAGGGTCTGAATACTTATGTAAATAAGGTTTTTCTGTTTTTATTTTTAATACATTTGATGGGGTATTGTGTGTAGATTGATGAGGGGAAAAAAGTATTTAATCAATTTTAGAAAAAGGCTGTAACGTAACAAAATGTGGAAAAAGGGAAGGGGTCTGAATACTTTCCGAAGGCACTATAGATGGTAATTTTCCATGAAGAAAGATTGTGTGACTTGCGTCCGCTCTTTAAAAGTATTTTCGTGGCAGTGGATAGGATAGCCTGAACATGTGAAGTTGGTTTGGTGTCTCTAGTTTGAACAGAGTTACTGTTGCTGGGTTATGTTATGCTAATTTATGCTAATTTATATAGTTTATACAAGTTTGAAAGAATTTGAAGTTAGGATAGCCTGAACATTTTAAAGTTGGTTTGGTGTATCTAGCTTGAACGGTTCAAGAGTTACTGTTGGTGAGTTATTTCATGCAAATGTATGTACATTTCTATAGTTATAGTTGATCAAAGTTTTTCAGAATTTGAAGTTAGGATAGCCTAAACATGTGAACGTTGGTTTGGTGTCTCTAGCTTGAACGGTTCATAATAATTCTGTTCTGATTCCAGATTTAAATAGCAGCGAAGTAGACCAAGATGTCGTACCCTCTATATTTTGTGAGTATCCATAGCAACAGTTCCGTTTGGCTCAATAATGAAAAGTGACCCAAACGCTAAAATGCAACGCATTTTCTCTCTAAATGACACAAAAAACGATTTTCTCTGTCACACACTCAGTCACAACACACGTGCCTGGCTGGCTGCAAAAGGGCATTGTGAGTGACGTCAGCAGCAGGCGCTCAGCTCGTGCACAGGCAGCAGCAGGCCAGCCAATCAGCAGGCCAGCCAAGCAGCAGGCCAGCCAATCAGCACAACAACCTGGAGAGAGCTGGAGAGAGATGCCTAGCGCACACATCATTATTTGAGTTAAGTTGCTTGTTCAATAAGATAGCAGATATACCTGGTTATTAGCTTGTACCTATAATTGTTGATCAGTTAGGTAGCATGTTAACTAACTACCTATACACTGCTTAAAACTGTAATTGTTCAGAATGTGTAGGCTTACTAGTTAATAAGAAAATAAATAAAATGTACTTGTTCAATAATGTGTAATGTTTAATTGTTCAATAATTCAATGTGTTGTGTTTACAAATAAAAATATCTGATCATATAAAATTATTTTGCTTTTTTCAAATAAAAATATGTGATCATAAACAAACAAATCTAAACTAACAAATGTCAAATCATGTTTGTAGCTGAGACGGCCGGTCAATTTCAGTAACGTTATTGTCTATTCTATGTAATGACGCAGTTTTACGTTATTACGTAATGACGTCATGACGCAATGACATCACAATGTCATTTAGCAACTTTTAGCAACAAATCGACCTGCCTCTAGCAACTTCCCCTGAAAATTAGTTGGCAACACTGCTATAAACTCCTACAAACAGCTGTAACTTGGTATTGGTAGAAGATAATTATGTTCTGATACCAGATTTGAATAGCAGAGAGGTAGAGTAAGATTTCATATGCTCTAAGTGTTTGTCTAAGTTGTTGGGGAGAGTGGTCAAAACGACAGTTGTTTGGAAAAAGTTATTTAAAAAAATAGTTAATGCAGTTACTAAAACAGCTGTATCGTTACATCCGTAGTGGATATTTTTGTTCCGCGAACAGATTTGAAAAGCTGAGAAGTAGAGGAAGATTTCGTGGTCAAAGTAGAAGATTTTTGTCAAAAGTTGCGTTGTTGCATTTACGGTGAATGGAATGTTGGAAGTGAAGATGTCATAATGGGGCCTTTAGAATGTTGTGGAAATGCCTTGAAAGTGGATGGAGAACTAAAAGAACACAACAATTAAATGATAACTTAAAAATTATAAAAGATATCCCCAAAAAGTGTACGTTTGAACGGCATGCTAAAAAATAAAAATAATAACTAGATGGTAATTGTACATGAAGTACAATTGGTGGGACTTGCTTTAATTCCTTAAAATATTTTTGTGGTAGTGGTAGAAGTATAAAAACGTTTAGTTTACTATTTAAGGAAAATCAGTTACATATAGTAACAAAATTATTGGTCAGATTACTTTGATAGACTACTATATCAACCATATTACTTTGGATTTCGGGGCAGTTAGATCACAAAAATGTCTAAACTACAGTTGTTGTGTGTGAAAACTAAAAGAAGAAAGACAGAGGATCTTCTGTCCGGGAATAAACTCTGAATCAATAAATGCATGATTTACTTTTTAAAAAACGTGCAGTGTGAATGAAGTTTGATTTTAGTTGAATGATGATATAATGATTAGAAAGTTGTAGGCTATTATTTGGGGAGAGAAATATGATGGTGCATCTAGTCATGACCGCTCTTAAATTATGTTTGTGGTAGTTGAAGAACTATGTAGAATATGTTTGTATGTAGACCTACTGATAGCTAGCTGTGGGTCTATCTAAGAAATAAACTATTTAGGCTAAATGTACATTTCCTGAAGAAAGTGTGGTGTGTTTGCTAGCTGGTTTTAAAGTGTGTATGGTTTTGAAATACGTGAAAGTGGTGGTAGTGTCTGCAGTATTAATGGTGGTGACTGGTTATAGTTGAGAAAGTAGGTAGATGAAGTTAGGATAGCCTGAGTTGGTTTGGTGTCTCTAGCTTGAACGGTTCAAGAGTTACTGTTGGTGGGTTATTTTATGGATAAGTATGTAAATGTATATAGTTGATAAAAGTTTGAACGAATTTGTATAACGCTTTCAGGGGTGGCTATCTGAAGAATCTCAAATCTCAAATATATTTTGATTTGTTTAACACTTTTTGGGTTACTACATAATTCCATATGTGTTATTTCATAGTTTTGATGTCTTCACTATTATTCTACAATGTAAAAAATATTAAAAATAAAGAAAAACCCTTGAATGAGTAGGTGTGTCCAAACAGAAATCTGCTGATACACCTGATACACCTGGTACACCTGGTACACCTGGTACACCTGATACACCTGATACACCTGGTACACCTGATACACCTGACACACCTGGTACACCTGATACAACCGACCTGATACACCTTATACACCTGATACACCTGATACACCTGATACACCTGATACACCTGGTACACTGAAACCTGAACACCGGACACAACTGGTACACCTGAATACACCTGGATACACCTGATACCCTGAACACCTGAATACACCCGGATACACCTGATACACCTGATACACCTTATACACCTATACACCTGATACACACCTGTATACACCTTATACACTAACACCTGATACACCTGATACACCTTGTGATTACACCTGGTACACCTTATACACCTGATACACCTGATACACCTGATACACCTGATACACCTGGTACACCTGATACACCTGATACACCTGATACACCTGATACACCTGATACACCTGATACACCTGATCACCAACCCTGATACCACCTGATACAACCCTGATACAACCTGATACCCTACACTGTACACCTGATACACCTGATCATACACCTGATACAACCCTTCTGATACACCTGACATGACACCTGATACACCTGATACAACACCTGATACACCTGATACACCTGATACCAACCTGATACACCTGATACACGATCACCTGACACCCTGATACCACCTGACGTACACCTGATACACCCTGATACACCTGATACACTGATACCCTGATACTACACCGTCACCTGATACACCTGATACACCCTGATACACCTGATACACCTGTACACCTTACACCTGTACGATACACCTGATACACCTAGTCACCAACAACCCTGTATACAACCTGACTATACACCTGATACAACCTGATACCAAACCTGTATACCAACCCTGATACACCTATACACCTGTACACCTAACACCTGATCAACACCTGATACACCTGATACACCTGATACACCTGATACACCTGTAAATTTCACTCAGTACACCTGAATACACAACCTGATACACCTGTACACCTGAACACCTGATACACCTGATACACAACACCTGATACACCTGTAACTACACCTGTACCACTGTACACCTGATAACCTTATGATACACCTGATACACCTGATACACCTGGTACACCTGATACACCTGATACACCTGATACACCTGATACACCTGAACCCTGATACACCTGATACACCTGATACACCTAGTAACACCTGTACCCAACACCTGATACACCTGATACACCTGTACACACCTGATACACCTGATACAACACTGATACACCTGATACCATACTACACCTGGTACACCTGATACACCTGATACACCTGTACACCCTGATACAACACCTGTACACCTGATACACCTGATACACACCTGATACCACCTGAGTAACCACACATACACCGTCCGTACACCTGATAAACACCTGATACACCTGATACACCTAACTGAACACCTGATACAACACCGGTACACCTGAACACCTGTACACCTGATACACTGGATACACCTGATACACCTATACACCTGATACACCGAACCTGTACACCTGATACACCTGATACACCTGTACACCTGTAACACCTGATACATGACCTGATACACCTGATACACCATACATAAACACTGATACAACACCTGATACACCTGATACAACCTGATACACCTGGTAACAAACCTGATACACGTACAACCTGATACAACCTGATACACCTATACACCTGATACACCTGATAACCAACACGAACACCTGATACACCTGTATACTGAACACCTGATACACCTGATAACAACACCTGATAAACCCGTACACCTGATACACCTGGTACAGACCTGATACACCTGAACACTGAACACCTGATACACCTGATACACACCTGATACACCTGAACACCTGGTACACTAACGAACCTAACATGAACAACCGAACCAAAACCTGATACACCTGATACACGAAACACGATACACCGCAATACAACCTGAACACCTGATACAACACTGATACAACCTGATACACCGGTAACACGATACACTGATCAACAACCTGATACACCTGGATAACAACCTGAACGTACAAAAAACCGGTACAAACACCTGATACACCTGATAACACCTGATACACCTGATACACCTGATACAAACACCTGTACACCGAACTGATACACCTGATACAACCTGATACACCTGACTACCACACTACACCTGAACGAACCTGAATACACCTGTATACACCTGAACACCTGATACACCTGTACACCGAACTTACACCTGATACACCTGTACACCTGATACACCTGATACAACCTGATACACCTGACAAACCTGATACACCGAACACCTGATACACCGATACACTGATACACCTAACACCTGATACACCTGATAACACCGTAGCTACACTACACTGATACACCTGATACACCTGATACAACACACGAACCCTGTACACCTGGTACACCTGATACACTGATACACCTGATACACCTGAACTACCACACACGTACAGAAACACCATGAACACCTAACACCTGATACACCTGATACACCGACTAACACCGATCACAACACCGTACACCGTACACTGATACACATACACCTGACACCTGAACACGAAAACACCTAACCCGAACACCGATACCCGAACACACACCAACACCTGAACAAACACGAAACCAACAGAACAGACCTACCGAACAACCGACACCGAAACCTAAACAACATAAACGATACACCGGACAAACAACCGTACACCAACCTAACACGACACCGACAACCGAACACCGAAACAACACTACAGAACACCGACACGTACAAGACACGAACACACACCTGACACCACATGAACACCGAACCGAACCACTGAACGAACCTGACACCGAAACGACCGACACACAACAACGAAGACACGACGAAGACCGAACCGAGTACCTGAACAACAGACGAAGATGACGCACGACCGACACAACAACACAACAGAACGACAACAAACACACCCAACCGACAAACGAACGAACCACGACCAAAGAACAGCGAAACCAAAACACATGACACACAGAAACCCAAGCAAAACACAGACCCGAACCGAACGACAACAGCAGAAACAACAGGAACAACCAGCAGAGATACCAAAAACACAGACAGGAAAACAGACAGAAACAACAACAGGAACCACAGACCCCAACAACAGACAGGAAACAGACAGACAGGAAACAGACAGACAGGAAACACACAGACAGGAAACAACAGACAGGAAACACACAGACAGGAAACACACAGACAGGAAACAGACAGACAGGAAACAGACAGACAGGAACACACAGACAGGAAACACACAGACAGGAAACAGACAGACAGGAAACACAGACACATTTTTGACACAGAAATATGACCTCCAATGCTATTAAAAGTATTAAAATCAAAAGGATTTTGAGGATTTTGGTTTTAGGAAATGATGAGCGTTTCCAAAAATAGAGCTTTTTACTGGCTACAGTCGTAGCTGCTCCAATGATATCAAAAATCATGACCTTCCCGCTAATCCACCTGGCGATAGGGCATTAACCGTGATTGGGCAAAGATGGTATGCTAAATACAGGCCTGGCATTAGTTAGGGTGTTAGCCGTAAATTATACCATACCATTGAGAGAGAGAGAGAGAGAGAGAGAGAGAGAGAGAGAGAGAGAGAGAGAGAGAGACAGACAGAGAGAGAGAGAGATAGAGAGATAAGAGGAGAGAGAGAGAGAGAGAGAGAGAGACAGAGAGAGAGGGGTGGGGTGGGGTGTTGGGGGGGGGGGGGGGGGGGTGGGGTGGGGGGGGGGTTTTTTGTTTTTGTTTTTTATTGTTGTTTTTCTTCGCTTTCCCTTTCATCCACCAATAGTTCGCGTCATCATCTTAACCTAATTTTAAGTTCTGTACCGCCTTAAAACCGGCATCACATGTGCGCCTACGCCTTGCTTTGGCTTTGTTCTTGAGATACTAAATCAAGCTGAACGTATGACCAAAGATACTGGTAACCTTTCATCTGTGGCGTGACTGTTAGCTAGCTAAAAGCACACTGTGGCGTGACTGTTAGCTAGCAAGCTACTAACCAGCATGCCGGCAAAAGCACACTGTGGCGTGACTGGGTGCCATAGTGTAAATTTAACCTTACAGTATTTTCTGAAGAATGAAGACATCTGACAGCAGCAGATTCTTATTTTTTTATTATATATATATTTTGTCATTTAGCAGATGCTCTTATCCAGAGTGACTTACAGGAGCAATTAGAGTTAAGTGCCTTGCGCAAGGGCACATCAACAGATTTTTGACCTAGTCAGCTCCAGAACCAGCGACCTTTCGGTTGCTGGCACAACACTCTTAACCACTAAGCTACCTGCCGCTTTGACTTGTGAATGGTATATTTTCTGTAACACACCTGATTGTCACTATATGGTTGTTGTTCCATCCATAAGCCCCCTACATTGAGTCTGAGAACTGCCAGCACACAGTCTGAGAACTGCCAGCACACAGCTGACACGAAGGAATGGCCCCCTACAGTCTGAGAACTGCCAGCACACAGCTGACACGGAGGAATGGCCCCCTACAGTCTGAGAACTGCCAGCACACAGCTGACACGGAGGAATGGCCCCCTACAGTCTGAGAACTGCCAGCACACAGCTGACACGGAGGAATGGCCCCCTACAGTCTGAGAACTGCCAGCACACAGCTGACACGGAGGAATGGCCCCCTACAGTCTGAGAACTGCCAGCACACAGCTGACACGGAGGAATGGCCCCCTACAGTCTGAGAACTGCCAGCACACAGCTGACACGGAGGAATGGCCCCCTACAGTCTGAGAACTGCCAGCACACAGCTGACACGGAGGAATGGCCCCCTACAGTCTGAGAACTGCCAGCACACAGCTGACACGGAGGAATGGCCCCCTACAGTCTGAGAACTGCAGCACACAGCTGACACGGAGGAATGGCCCCCTACAGTCTGAGAACTGCCAGCACACAGCTGACACGGAGGAATGGCCCCCTACAGTCTGAGAACTGCCAGCACACAGCTGACACGGAGGAATGGCCCCCTACAGTCTGAGAACTGCCAGCACACAGCTGACACGGAGGAATGTTGCCCACAAAAGGAGTTGTGGTGTGTATAGTATTTGTGATTTACCCCTGAAAATCATATTTCCATTGTGTGGTTGTTATCTTACAGTTGATGTAGCCTGTGTCGTTGGGGCTAATCATGATGATTAGGGGGGATTATTATTTCACTTTCCATCTCATTTTCTCTTTCCACTATCATCAAACTGTAATGATAGACATTTTAGAAAATTCAACATCTACTCTGTCTGCACAGTTTCCCAAGCAACCACCGCAGCAGTGAGAGAGGCCTGATATGTCCATCCCAGGACCCCTGTCTGCCCAGTGTGTGAGGCCTGATATGTCCATCCCAGGACCCCTGTCTGCCCAGTATGTGAGGCCTGATATGTCCATCCCAGGACCCCTGTCTGCCCAGTGTGTGAGGCCTGATCTGTCCATCCCTGGACCCCTGTCTGCCCAGTGAGAGAGGCCTGATATGTCCATCCCAGGACCCCTGTCTGCCCAGTGAGAGAGGCCTGATATGTCCATCCCTGGACCCCTGTCTGCCCAGTGTGAGAGGAGGCCATAGCTGGATTTGTCTCCCGATTCAATCTTGGGGATGATTTAAGCCAAGTGGGTGACTGAAGCCAAATGGGTGACTGAAGCGGGTTACATGGGTCCCCCTCCTCTCCCCCTCCTCTCCCCCTCCCCTCCCTCTCCTCTCCCCCTCCCCTCCCCCTCCTCTCCCCCTCCTCTCCCCCTCCCCTCCCATCAATCTCTGTAGTAGGTTGCATTTCCTAAAGCCTAAGTCATTCACTTCTATGTGATATTTGTATTTGTATTTATTATGGATCCCCATTAGTTCTTGCCAAGGCAGCAGCTACTCTTCCTGGGGTGCAGCAAAATTAAGGCAGTTATACATTTTAAAAACATTACAATACATTCATAACAGATTTCACAACACACTGTGTTCCCTCAGGCCCCTACTCCACTACCACATATCTACAGTACAAAATCCATGTGTACGTGTGTGTATAGTGTGTATGTTATCATGTGTGTGTATGCATGTGTCTGTGCCTATGTTTGTGTTGCTTCACAGTCCCCGCTGTTCCATAAGGTGTATTTTTATCTGTTTTTTAAATCTGATTCTACTGCTGGCATCAGTTACTTGATGTTGAACAGAGTTCCATGTAGTCATGGCTCTGTGTAATACTGTGCGCCTCCCATAGTCTGCTCTGGACTTGGGGACTGTGAAGAGACCTCTGGTGGCATGTCTTGTGGGGTATGCATGGGTGTCCGAGCTGTGCGCCAGTAGTTCAAACAGACAGCTCGGTGCTTTCAACATGTCAATACCTCTCACAAATACAAGTATGACATCACATTGTTACTTTGTGTTGTTTTTTTCTTCAAGCATCAGACACAAATTGTATGAATCAATGGGTCCTGCACACTGCCTATGTTAGGCTTATGGCTCTCATCTCTATGTCTCACCTCTATGTCTCACCTCTATGTCTCACCTCTATGTCTCACCTCTATGTCTCACCTCTATGTCTCACCTCTATGTCTCCCCTCTATGTCTCACCTCTATGTCTCCCCTCTATGTCTCACCTCTATGTCTCACCTCTATGTCTCACCTCTATGTCTCCCCTCTATGTCTCACCTCTATGTCTCCCCTCTATGTCTCACCTCTATGTCTCACCTCTATGTCTCACCTCTATGTCTCACCTCTATGTCTCACCTCTATGTCTCACCTCTATGTCTCACCTCTATGTCTCACCTCTATGTCTCACCTCTATGTCTCACCTCTATGTCTCACCTCTATGTCTCATGAGTGTTGATGTTGATCAATATTTCGGCTATACTAGCCTGTTGTAAATAATCAAATAAATGCCTGATCAATACATACAATTGTGAATATATTTTCATTCATAATGCTAATGCAGAGACACCAATAAATCAGTGAACTGTATTCTGTAATTAGCTACAAAACAATAGAAATGCCATTGTGTATTGCTGCTGTTTGTCTGATATCCAACAGTCCATGATCAGCTCTGTTGACCATGAGAGGGTTTTGCAGAGAAAATGGGTTGAGGCATACTATTTACTGTAGGAATGACATATGGCCTATTGTTTACCTTGTCTTCAGCGGCATGTGGCCCATTGTTACCTCGTTACCTGGCAACGACCACAAAAGGGTTTCAAAGAGCTGTCAGTCAAGGGGAGCTCCTGAATATAATCTCCACCCACTCTGTTCTTTCAGGCTTCCTGATAGGTACAGATGAGGGAAAGGTACCGTTTCCGTCAAAAATATTGTGGCCGATGTTTTGGTCATTCTAAGGCTATTTTTACTTGGGAAATAGGATGACTGTGCGGGACCTTTAAAGGTAATTTCCATTTGAGCCAACATCTTCAGCGTTTACCTTGAACGCTATCTCTGCTAACGCGGTAATAACGCCTTCAAAAGCTGCGTTGTCGACAAGCATGATCGGATTAAATCACGGCCAAGGTATACAGGTTAGGTATTAACAGGCTTTATTGTCCGTTTCCTGTTCCACTGACTCCAGATAGCCGGCTCATTTTAAAGCTGCCGTTGATACTGTAGTTGTTGTCAGTATTTGCTCTCGGATGTCTGAAGAGTTTGTCATTTCAGAATGAGGGGTGCTGTAGCTCAGCTGGTGTTGCTGTGGGCTCAGGGAGAGAGAGAGGACGGCTCAGAGGGACTGTCTGTCTGGGGCATGGGCTCAGGGAGAGAGAGAGGACGGCTCAGAGGGACTGTCTGTCTGGGGCATGGGCTCAGGGAGAGAGAGAGGACGGCTCAGAGGGACTGTCTGTCTGGGGCATGGGCTCAGGGAGAGAGAGAGGACGGCTCAGAGGGACTGTCTGTCTGGGGCATGGGGTCAGGGAGAGAATGGAGGGGGTAAGAGGAAAGACAAGGGACTGAAGCTACAGAAACAAACCACAAACAGTAGAGCGGCCAGACCCCCACCCCTGATGGTGGTGGAGCAGAGAGCTGAGGAACATGGAGGCCAGACGGTCTGAAGGAGGTGAGAGACATGGTGGTGGAGCAGAGAGCGTAGCTGAGGAACATGGAGACCAGACGGTCTGAAGGAGGTGAGAGACATGGTGGTGGAGCAGAGAGCGTAGCTGAGGAACATGGAGGCCAGACGGTCTGAAGGAGGTGAGAGACATGGTGGTGGAGCAGAGAGCTGAGGAACATGGAGGCCAGACGGTCTGAAGGAGGTGAGAGACATGGTGGTGGAGCAGAGAGCTGAGGAACATGGAGGCCAGACGGTCTGAAGGAGGTGTCATCATTAATAGAGGATCTGAGTGTCACTAAGACTGAACGGCAGCACCAGAGAGAGAGAATTCAGGTAAAGTCAGAGAAGACAATAGAGAAGACAATAGAGAAGACAATAGAGAGACAATAGAGAAGACAATAGAGAAGACAATAGAGAAGACAATAGAGAAGACAATAGAGAAGACAATAGAGAAGACAATAGAGAGACAATAGAGAAGACAATAGAGAGACAATAGAGAGACAATAGAGAGACAATATAGAGACAATAGAGAAGACAATAGAGAAGACAATAGAGAAGACAATAGAGAAGACATTAGAGAAGACAATAGTGAAGACAATAGAGAAGACAATATAGAGACAATAGAGAGAAAAGAGAAGACAATAGAGAGACAATAGAGAGACAATAGAGAGACAATAGAGAAGACAATAGAGAAGACAATAGAGAAGACAATAGAGAATACAATAGAGAAGACAATAGAGAGACAATAGAGAACAAAACACAATAGAGAGACAATAGAGAGAATAGAGAAGACAATAGAGAAGACAATAGAGAGACAATAGAGAGAATAGGGAGACAATAGAGAAGACAATCGAGAGACAATAGAGAACACAATAGAGAAGACAATAGAGAAAACAAAGAGAAGACAATAGAGAGACAAAATAGAAACACATAGAGACATAGAGAACAATAGAGAGACAATAGAGAGACAATAGAGAGACAAAGAACAAAGAGAGAATAGACAATAGAGAGACAATAGAGAATAGAACAATAGAGAAGACACATAGAGAAATAGGACAATAGAGAGACAATAAGAGAACATAGAGACAATAGAGAACAAGAAATAGAGAGACAATAGAGAAGACAATAGAGAGACAATAGAGAAGACAATAGAGAACACAATAGAGAACACAATAGAGAAGACAATAGAGAAGACAATAGAGAGACAATAGAGAAGACAATAGAGAACACAATAGAGAAGACAATAGAGAAGACAATAGAGAAGACAATAGAGAGACAATAGAGAACACAATAGAGAGACAATAGAGAAGAATGGAATGTCAATGGGGCGCTAACATGGCTGCCATATAATCTTGTAATGTCATGTACTGTATACTGTCAAATAATTCAATAGTTATGTCTCCTTACTACACTACCAATGTCTATACCGTTATATCATTCAATAGTTATGTCTCCTTACTACACTACCAATGTCTATACCGTTATATCATTCAATAGTTATGTCTCCTTACTACACTACCAATGTATATACTGTCATATCATTCTATAGTTATGTCTCCTTACTAGACTACCAATGCAGACCGATGGGCAGAATGGGCCGGCGTGAGATGGGCAGGGGAAGGCTGACTGGGTTGTGAGACCCAAGCCGTCTATGGTGAGTGCCACGTCAGTGATTAAGCACTGTGGAGGGACGCCGGCTCATTGTTAACTGGGGTATAGTCTAGGCCCTAGGCCTACGGTTGATGTGGTGTTGTAGGACTGAACATTTTTTAAATATAAGAGTGCGGCTTTGTTAACCGGTCAAGGGGCGCTCTTTAAAAATGGGGATGGATACAAGCTGAATGGAGTATGCACTGCAGGTAGGGATACAAGCTTGAATGGAGTATGCACTGCAGGTAGGGATACAAGCTTGAATGGAGTATGCACTGCAGGTAGGGATACAAGCTTGAATGGAGTATGCACTGCAGGTAGGGATACAAGCTTGAATGGAGTATGCACCGCAGATAGGGATAGAAGCTGAATGGAGTATGTACTGCAGGTAGGGATACAAGCTTGAATGGAGTATGCACCGCAGATAGGGATACAAGCTGAATGGAGTATGCACCTTTCATGGATAGGCTCCTTGGCTAATGCATGGCCAGGATAAGACAGACACCAGACACATTGCTGTTGATCCAGCTTCCATTACAGTAGGGCAGGGGTAGGTTACCCTGGTCCTGGAGTGCCGCAACTGACCTGGAAGACCAGGTGTGTTGAATTTAGTCAATCACTGAACTGATCAATTAGCTCAGGTGTGGTGCCTAGTTGGAACAATATTCTGCAGTACTCCAGGAACAGTGTTGCCTTCCCCTGTAGTAGGGTAAGGGTAGGACTACTAAGGGCTTGTTTTTTATAATAATAATAATAATATGCCATTTAGCAGACGCTTTTATCCAAAGCGACTTACAGGTCAAACATTTATCAAACTAAATGGAAAACAATCAATTGTCACAGGAAAATAATGTAAATGTTTCTAAATAAGACTGTTACCGGATTATCTCATCTCTCGTTCCACGATGGGGTTTTACACACCCAAAATAATAACAGGAACTGGCTACAGTAATGTACAATAGCCTACGGAGATAAAAAGGGTATGTCCGCTCAGTGTTTCGCTGCTCCCAAACTGGAACTTTTAATGAAGCTTTGGTGATCGCGCCAAACCCTTTATCGATAGTCTTGACTACTTGGCGAATGCAAGAACAAAACAAAATGCCTTCATTGAGAGGAGGGGAGGCAATGCTTGGTTTTTAATCAAATGGGAAAAAACGTAGTTTTCTATGTTTCTAAATACGGGCTTTGAGCATATGGGCACTGTGCATCATGGATGGATAGGGCTGCGCTTCCGCTGTCAAAATCCATGCCATAACCAAACACGTTTTCTGCAAAGACCAGCTTTCGGTTGGTCTTAAAGAGCGACTTCTCGTTTTTAAAATGGCATATGTGGCCTTGATATGAGTCGGAGACGTTTATTCTAATGTCAAAATGTACTACTAAGTGTAAATAGGATAATTTGGGTCATAAAGTCAGTCTCGTCCAAAACAGAGATTTGCGAGATAATAGTTTTTAAAAAATGGTCACCGAATGAAGGGTACTGTAACAGTTTTCCTTGGGTGGGGTTTATTTAAAACTGTCCACAGCTGGCAGAACCCAAATAATAATCAATTCGGAGCACAGCTGCATGTGACCCGATTATATATAATGCCCATGGTCAATTTGGTTTGACATTCCATATCCCTATGGGGCTATATAGGGACCATCAGTAAATTACACACTCTACATGGGACAATATTTTAAAAGGTCAATAGCTCCAAATTTCAATGACTTAACCTCAAACCAACTGTAAGTTGTAGAAATTCATAAACAAATATTGAAAGCTCTGTATTTTATTTTGTATTTTTGTATTTTCAAACAATACAAAACATACACATATTGAAACCATTTAATGAGACAACAAAAACATTTGCAACTTGAACATTGTGTAATTTATTGACGGTCCCAATAGATAGGCTATCCAAAGTCAAACCAATTTTGCCACGATAGCGCACCAGCCGGCTGAAGCTAATTGGATAAATAATTTGGCTAACTCTTCCCAGCTGCAAACACACACAAGAGACATCCAAAACGAGGCCAAATCAGGAAGTGCAGTTGCCCTTTAAATATCCCAACCAGTGCATACTGAAATTGGCACTTTGGCGCACATTTTTAAGGACACACCTCAGATATAGCCACCCCTACCACTTCAGCGCAAGCGAGCTCATATAAGACAGGTAAATTACCAATCCTGGCCCTAGGCTTTAGAAATAGCTTTAACAGGTCAAAATTGCAAACGAGCGCGCATTTGACAATTTTGCTGGCTTGATCGGCAGCCGAAAATTGAACCCTGTGTCTCTAAAATCACAATATCATGTCACAAAGTATTTTTAAAAAAAAATTAAACGACCAAATGTCACTGTTGACCAGATCCTAATAGTTCCGTATGAACTGTAGGCCTATAATCAAATCAAATCAAATCAAATTTTATTGGTCACATGCGCAGAATACAACAGGTGCAGACATTACAGTGAAATGCTTACTTACAGCCCTTAACCAACAGTGCATTTATTTTAAACAAAAAAAGTAAGAATAAAACAACAACAAAAAAAAAGTGTTGAGAAAAAAAGAGCAGAAGTAAAATAAAGTGACAGTAGGGAGGCTATATATACAGGGGGGTACCGTTGCAGAGTCAATGTGCGGGGGCACCGGCTAGTTGAGGTAGTTGAGGTAATATGTACATGTGGGTAGAGTTAAAGTGACTATGCATAAATACTTAACAGAGTAGCAGCAGCGTAAAAAGGATGGGGTGGGGGGGCAGTGCAAATAGTCCGGGTAGCCATGATTAGCTGTTCAGGAGTCTTATGGCTTGGGGGTAGAAGCTGTTGAGAAGTATTTTGGACCTAGACTTGGCACTCCGGTACCGCTTGCCGTGCGGTAGCAGAGAGAACAGTCTATGACTAGGGTGGCTGGAGTCTTTGACAATTTTGAGGGCCTTCCTCTGACACCGCCTGGTATAGAGGTCCTGGATGGCAGGAAGCTTTGCCCCAGTGATGTACTGGGCCGTACGCACTACCCTCTGTAGTGCCTTGCGGTCAGAGGCCAAGCAGTTGCCATACCAGGCGGTGATGCAACCAGTCAGGATGCTCTCGATGGTGCAGCTGTAGAATTTTTTGAGGATCTGAGGACCCATGCCAAATCTTTTTAGTCTCCTGAGGGGGAATAGGCTTTGTCGTGCCCTCTTCACGACTGTCTTGGTGTGTTTGGACCATGATAGTTCGTTGGTGATGTGGACACCAAGGAACTTGAAGCTCTCAACCTGTTCCACTACAGCCCCGTCGATGAGAATGGGGGCGTGCTCAGTCCTCTTTTTTTTCCTGTAGTCCACAATCATCTCCTTTGTCTTGGTCACGTTGAGGGAGAGGTTGTTGTCCTGGCACCACACGGCCAGATCTCTGACCTCCTCCCTATAGGCTGTCTCATCGTTGTTGGTGATCAGGCCTACCACTGTTGTGTCGTCGGCAAACTTAATGATGGTGTTGGAGTCGTGCCGGGCCATGCAGTCATGGGTGAACAGAGAGTACAGGAGGGGACTGAGCACGCACCCCTGAGGGGCCCCCGTGTTGAGGATCAGTGTGGCAGATGTGTTGTTACCTACCCTTACCACCTGGGGGTGGCCCGTCAGGAAGTCCAGGATCCAGT